CACACACACACACACACACATACACGAACGCCTCTGAAAACATAACCTTCTTGGCGAAGGTAAAAATAATAATATTAAAGAAAGTCTAACATCAGGTCTAAGGTATGCAATGCTAAATACATATTTATATAAAGTGGTGTCGCCATAGGCAATGGCCATCTTCGGACGAGACAAATGTGCGGAAACACACACACACACACACACACACACACACACACATACACACACACACACACACACACACACACGCGCGCGCGCGCGCATACACACATACATACACACACACACACACACACACACACACACATACACACCCGCACACGCATACATACATACATACATACACACACACACAGACACGCCAAAAACAATACCTCAATTTTTCATGGAGGTAAATAGTCATGCAGGCCCTCACATATGCATGCGTGACTATATCATCATTTTCTGGAAAAAAGCGCCATCTAGCGTATTGGCAAAGAAATGCTTCACATCGTCAGGTGAGCTTTGATGACGTCATTCAGTGATGACGTCTTGCTTTGCGTTGTTTACCAACGTTGCAAAATGTGAAAAATGATGTAACTACTGTATGTTGAAAATTGGTGACAAAATATCCGTATTAGTAGTATAGATCCCCTATGGATAAAAACCATCATCCCCTATGGATAACAACTTGTATCATTGGGAAGACGCATAAAACTTTAAAAGACTAAAAAATGCACCCTACATCTGCTTGGAGATGAAGAAAGCGGCGATTCCTCTGGGACTTGCTCCCGCGCATGCGCCCTAGCCAGATTCGAAACTTTCCCGGGAGTTAGGAGCGAAGAAGCTGTCATCGTTTGCAGAGAGCTGAGGGCGAAAATTTACAAACTTTCCGGCCAAGAACAGGTAAGGAGGAGCTTACTGTAGGTTATATACAACATTCAGAGCTTGCCAAGCAGTTTTGTGATGCGTTGTCGACTGATAACGAGGAAAAATCGGTCAGTTTTGGCCGACACTCCTCTACATGTGACGCGGTGGGGCGCAGTAAGTTCCCGCGGTGAACTAATGAAACTGTAGCCTCTACCAGGCTTCGGTAGGTGGGTGAAAAGAGTAGAAATCGGCCAAATAGAGAGCGGCAAACTGTTCTCTCCAGCAGACCAACTCCCCTGGCATGCTATCTCTCTATTTGGCCGATTTCTACTCTTTTCCAAATGCCTCCCGAGGCCAGGTAGTGGTACTGAGGCTAGTGAAACACTGCTGCACAGAAAACAACGCACATGTGCCTAAATTTGGGGAAAAACGAAGGTCTCTAAAACATTTGTAAAATGTCTGTATATAAAATGCAGTTTTCTAGCAAGGCTATCTGGTTTGTTGTAAATTTCAGGACCATACTTACGCCATGCAAGTTCATGTATAATTTCTACTGTCTAGCACAGCATGGCAACTTCCCAAGCGAGGTTTAGGCTTCGGCAAATTTTTGACGTGTTTTTAAAATGCTTTCTTTTTCGTAGAGGTCTCTTTTTTTCTTACCAATTATTTGATAATGTCTTGCTGCCATGAAAAAGGTCTGTTTGGAGGTTACCAGTAGGCCACAGTTTGCTGATGCCACTACGTGATTATCCATCTTAGTTTGACAGGTCGCGATTTGTTTGTTTGTTTTTACAACTTTTAAACCCAAGCTTGAAGGATCTCTGCCTTGGCATAACATTGCATTTTAAAATAATATTCAGATAGTAGTACTTGTACGAGCTGCTCAATAGCCAGTCACGCCACAAAATTATAGATCGAGTAATGATATGTAAATTTCTTGAAAGAGTTGAAAGAGAGGTGTTCAAGAAAACAATGGGTGTGAGACTGTTGTGATTTATTGGGGGGGAGGGGGTGTGATCTCAGTGTGAGTTTACTATGAACAAACGTCCTTGAAAAAAAGTTTACTATAGAAAAGCAAATGTAGCTCTGATGCAAATGAGCTTCAAAGAAATGATGAATTGCGCTGCCCAAAGCAAAGCTATCGAGAAAGCTTTGTTCTGAATCTAATGTAGGATTGTGTGTCGTAACAGCAAAGCATTCAGCACAGAACCAAGAGGTCCCATGTTCGAATCCTGCCCAGTTACCAACAAACATGTGCCCCTAACACAACTTTCTTGACTTGGCTCAGGTAAAAATGAGTATGCCAGAATGATCATTATCATGATCGTGAGCATCAAAGAAATACCAAACCAACCAACCAAACCATAATGTCAGCCCTTTTACCTTTTCCTCAGACCTTCCAGGTCCTCTGTGCTGCACCATGTTCCCCACATGCCACGGCAGAAATCTCCTCAACAAGGATGACATAGTCCCACTGAGGAGGCCCCGGAAAGCAGAGGCAGCTTCAACTTCAAGTTCAACCAAGAAAGCAGACAGTCTTGTACCGGAGAAGACAGAAAATGTGCCCACGTGTCAAGTCAGAAACTTTCTCAACGCAGAAGACACTGCTCCGCTGAGAAGGCCTCGAAAAGCAGAGACAGCTTCAACCAACAGAACAACCAGTCCTGTTCCAGGGAGGACAGAAGATGTGCCTTTATCTACCTTCAGACAGGCAGAGATTAACCCTGTCTGTGTACCGAGGAAAACAGTATCAGCTCCTGTGTCTCCTAAAGCTGAAGCAGTGTCACCCCCATCTCCTGTACCCTCACTGCCACTCAGGTAATGTTGTTTTTTTGCATGTTTACTTCAAACATTTTGTATTATTACTTCAAAGATCATGTAATAATCAGGGAAAGGACTGTTCAACTTGAAAACTTGGGAGTGGGAAACTTTTCTGAACATCTACCCTCTGTTTTTATTCATTTGGCTGTCCCCCTTTTTTTTTAGTTTTTCCGATAACCTTTTCAGTATACTGTACATTTATGTCTGTTACTATGTTCCTTATTATTGTCTGAGACTCTGAGTATTGCCGGCCTTGAGGTTATGCATTTATATACATATGAATTACAATAGTATGTACCAGTAAGCCAACTCATTGGATTTTCATTGTTTGGGACAACTCTTTTCTTTTTTATGTGGCAATGCTTTATTACTATAACACATAGTTACACATTGATTTAACTGCTGTTCACATCGATTGAGAGAGAGTTTTGCTGTGTTTATCTTTCCCCAGTGCCCCAGAAGACGTTCCAGGCCCAGACAGAGTCACCCTGCCGTTACTACGGGAACTCTTGTCCAGAGTTCAGTACTCGGCAGATGAGGAGGAGGCCCAGGAACACATCTATAACCTGTACAGACATCTCAGGGTGTACGGGAAGACACTGGATGGAAATGTGAAAGGCAAGATAATAGTGGATCGATATCAATTCAAATGCTTTTAATACATATTTTTCTGTATTTACTGCAAGTTAAAAACACCACCTAGCAATATAAATACAAACTGCAGACCACACAAAATCTGGAATTATACATGTACCTCTTGCTACAGGCAAGTAATAGTGCATCAAATCATCCAAATAAATTCAAATGCAAGTATGTATTTGATCTTGACATTCAAGTTTAAAGATACTGCTGATACCATGCAAAATTTGGAACAACAGCCTGCTAAAATTAAGTAAATGATACCTTTTTGATAGTTCAATTGATTTTAGTGGATCAAAATAAATTCAGATGTAAGTATGTTTGAGGTTGACATGTTATTTATTTATTTACATTTCTGTATTTCATCACAAGATGGCTGGGTGGCCCCATTCAGCTTGTGTTAGCTGTTTTCCAAGGGGGCCCAGCAAAATTACAAGACAAGACATTGTTACATACAGTAAGACAAGTGTGGACAACATACAGAAAACATAAAAGTCTGATGCGTCAAAACAGAGCCATAGTCCTATACTCAAAGTCCTAGTCGTTCAAAGGTCAAAAATGTTAGATTCTTCATCCAAAACTTGCCAGCTTATTTTGCCTGTTGTGTCTCCTGCCAGGAGAAGTGAACGCTGTGTTTGTGGTACTGAGGGACCTGTGTCGGGACTCAGGTCTGGCGTACCTCTCCCGTCTCCTGCTCTTACAGCTGATAGAACTGCGTGCAGCCGGCTGGGACCCGTCCCCGCACCTGCACAGCTACTACACAGGCAAACTGGAGAAGTTTCCAGAGATAAAGGTCTGTTTCTGTGAATCAATAGAAGTTTATTGCAAATTCATGCCCGGGGGGGTAATTGCAGATTACAAACAGAAAGAACAATGAAATGTAGAATAGAATAACTAAAATCTACATGATAAACGGTAGTTGTCTAGAGCTATAGCTATGTCTAAAACTATGTCTAAGGGGTCTGGCTTCTCTTTTTTAGACCATGGAAGACGTAATGTCCCACCTTTTCCAAAATTAGTGGGTTTTGGGAAGTTAGAAGAAGAATCAATGAAGCTCCCGCTCCAGGGGTGATCCCTGCCTGTAGGTTCATTGATTACTGTTGACTGTTGTAATGATTATAGGTGTTGAAGGTTCCTAATGTCCACAGCTGTGCTGTAGTGAAGTTGGCTTAGGAATAATGACAAGGTGGAGAGACAACTTGTAAATGCAGGTTATGTCGCCTGTTTTAAAATAAAATCAATGGGTGCTCAATGTTTAAGTCTGGTAATCAAGGCTCCTGAAATTTGTAGCAAGGTGCAGCCATACCAAGTAGTTATTTTTAACCAAAAACTAGCAGGTTTTAAAGCAAGGTTACCTAACTTTGAAAATTGACAAGGTTTTACTGAGATCACAACAATGTTATGCAGCACCAAATTCCACTGCTTAGGGAGAGCCCTGAATGATCAAAATTTTCCAAGCATTTTTTTCCTCAGTCATTTTGTGATGTCACAGAAGATCTGGACAGGGGCTGTATGGTCAAACATGTTGGTCAGCCTATTTTTCCCCATTTTTTAACGACATTCTGTGTTCCCTTTCCTTACAGTCTGATGACTTGTCTGCACCTTCCAACACATCAGCTGTGGAATCCCTGAAGTCTGGGTGAGTTCAACTCAAATAATCCAAAGATGATACAGGACATTTCTTTATGTTTTGATCAGATACTGCAAGTTAAGATAGACCAGTGCCAGACTTGCATGTTTGTTTGATGATTTTTCCAGCCTGATCCCAATGAAAGGCTTTTCTCCAAGAGAACCCGAGGAAAGTAAGAAGGAGGAGAAGAAGAAGAAACCATGCCAGGAGACCATCACTGTCTGTGTGAGTCTGGCTGCCAAAGGTACGTCATCACAAACAATACTTCTCTTACTTTGGAAATAGAAAGGTTTTGAAAACCTGCTTGGGCATGGTGTGAGGGAATGTATTCTTTGGCATGTGGACATAATTCCAGCAGGCATTGGGCATTAAACTACTGCATGTAAAAGAAACCCAACACACTTATCGACAAGAATAGGTGTGACCTGTATGCTTGTTGAAAATTGCGAGTCCCATGTACTTGAAAAAGAGTCCTGCTTCACTTCAACTGAGAGGATGATTGCCTTACCCTACATTTATGTCTACATGTAAATGACAGAAGAAACTAGACCACATTGTACTTGAAAATGCTCTGATCTGTGTTACCCTGGAGTAGTGCTTTGTGTCAGTTTGACACACCGAGTCTGGTACCACATGTCTTGTATTTTTCCCTTCTGGTCAGTATTTGAGCCAGCTGAGAAGATGAGAAGACTGGAGGAAAGATGCAGAGCTAAGCTGGAGTGTTATCCTGGTCAGTGGTCCTATTGTCTGCATACTACTGTTCTTTGTTTCACAACCAAGTTAGAGGTACTTGTCTTCCATCGTTTTGGTTGTCCTTCTACATTTCTAAGGGCGATGCTGCCAGAATATCAGCATGTACTGTGCCTGTCAGTGTGTGAAACACGTAATGTAGTTTGGCAGAACATCTTGTTTATCGTTGTATTCGTGTATTTCAGGTTGACAGAAGAATCGGTAGAAGTGTTGACCAAACATCCTATGAAAATTGTGAAACATCTGGGTTTTATGCAGATGCTGCATGCTATACATACGGTACCATCCTTGCAGTCCTCACTATCCTTACTTTTCGGTTGTTTTCAAGTGTTGTATTAACTGTTTGTTTGTCCTACCTATTTCAGATGCAGATGGTGAAGACTGCCTGGTGACAATCACAGCAGAAAGTCAGGCAGTTATAGAGTAAGTACTTAACGAGAAGGTAATACTAGTAATACTTCATATATTTATATGCCTGGCAGTTGCCAGACAGTCACCAATGGTATATACTGTATCCTGTAGGTGCTTCAACTCTGGATATATTTGGGGCTCCTCAACTACTATCGATTGAAATTTGAATTCTTCCTGATGTAGCAGTTTTCTCAGATGCTGTCTCTAAGATGTACATTAAGATCTTAAACAGACAATGTACAGACATCAGCAGGGGAAATTAGTGAAGAAAGTGGGGCATGTCTCAGGAGTGAAGTTTGCTTGTAGCTCTTAGCTAGAAGCTAGAAGCTAGAACATCGGCATGTACATTGTTTGTCTTAGATAGGTTTGTACTGTATCTTTCATTGTTAAAAGAATTGCTTCCAATAAAGCCTATCTAAGCCTGGATCTAATCCAAACTGAAACTCAAAAACGATTTATGAAACAAGTTTGAACTGTAATATTCAACACAAAAGATGTTGTGGACTCACCCACATTTTTTACTTTACAACTCTTTTACTCTACAAGTCTTTGTGAAGAAATGAGCATTTGGGTGAGTCCAATTTTTTGTGTTGGATATTACAGTTCAAACTTGTTTCATGATGACTTCTACCAACACAGAACTTTCAAGATAAGGCCACACCAATTTAATTTCTTGATTAACAGATTCGCCCGCTTCGTTTTTTTCTGATTTGCAAATAAAAATAAAAATTCAGAATCAACTGCAAAATGCTCATATTTTGCCCAGAACAGTTGAAAACAGTCCTTTTCTTCCTTGTTGTTACAGTTATTTCATCTTTCAATGCAGTGGTATCATTAAAATTCATTGTTTAAATTTTAACCAGCCTGGTGTGTTGATTTCATGGCTCCTATCATGCCATTTTGGCCCATAATAGGATGCCTAGGCCTGTTTCTATTTTTATTTTTTTATTCGCCCGCCCGCTTCATTATTTTTCTAGAAAAATCCGTTAACCAAGAAATAAAGTTGGTGTGGCCTAAGATCAAAAACGATTTGTTTTTCTTTACCCCTTAACTCGCCAGTCATGCAGTGAATGTAATAGAAGAAGCCATAGCAGAAGTGGAACGCCAGGAGAGACAGAGAAGATGCCGGTCACCCCCGGCACACGCGAGGCACAGGCCACGTGGGGGGAACGCTGGCCCAGCAGAGTTACGGCACAAGCCTCAAGGGGGAAACTCAGGCTCAACAGACCGCTGGGGGAACTTCCAGTTCTCCAGCTACCAGGACAAGATCGCTGCCAGGGCCAGACTTAACGGGGGAACTCAAGGAAACGGAACAAGTGGTGGGGGATTTTACAGATCTTTTTTTTTTGTAATATTTCCCAGTTAAACCAGCTATTCTTGAGAAAGCAATCTTGAGTTAGGGTGGAAAGATGTAGATTAGTAGAGTTTATTAAGGGCCAGACATAATGGGGGAACTCAGAGAAACCGAACAACTGGTGGGGAATTTTACCATTCAATTTCAGTTTAGTTTTGAGCCAGGAAGATACATCCCAGATCTACATGATTGTGAGCTGTTTTTGCGGTCACACTGTAAAGAAACTACAATGCAAGGACCATTCACATACATGTAAATACTAAAATGGTGGGGGTTAAGTAAAGAACTGCACAAACAAAACAAGCGAACTTTGTGCAGTGAATTTTGTGCATGGTCGCCTTAACCAATCCTGAATTACATTTCACAGTATGTATTACTATACGACAGTCCTAAAGACATAAGGCACCAAGAAATGTCCTTATTTATGACCCAATCAAAAGGGATAATATAGACTGTCATTAAGCAGGGAGCCTGTCCACTTCTTTCTGCACTGTTGTACATTTACTGAAGTAACAACTCTGTATTGAAAAGAATGAGAAACTTATCCAGACGATCACTTATTTCTACTGTACTAAGTTGATAACGGCTCTACAACAGCCAAGTGGTTTATCTTTGTTTGGCACTGGTCCCTCTATGGATACCCAAGCCATCCAGGGCACAGAGAGTCAATGCCATAGATTGCTGTCTGAAATAACCTATAAATTTTTGATAAGTCTTGTATAAACTAGTTCCAGAATGATAATGTTTGTCTGAAAACTGATTTCTAAAGCTTTTGACTTGTGTTTGACTTGGATATGTTGCATTTCAAAGACCATTCAACAGAAGAAACAACGACAACTCTCGAGTCAATACCATAGATTGCTGTCTGTAATAACCTATACATTTTTGATGAGATAAGTCTTGTATAATCTAGGTCCAGAATGATACTGTTTGTCTGAAAACTGATTTCTAAAGCTTTTAAATTATGTTTGACTTGGAAATGTTTTGCTTCATTTCCTGTTGCTGTCACCATTCAAAGACCAGTAAGAGAAGAAACAACGACAACTCTCGAGTCAATACCATAGATTACTGTCTGAAATAACCTATAAATTTTTGATGAGATAAGTCTTGTATAAACTAGTTCCAGAATAATAATGTTTGTCCAAAAACTGATTTTTACCTTACTACATGGGGTTTTCAATACAGATCGCATTGAAACAATGATTTTAAATCGTGTTTCACTTGGAAATGTTGCATTTCAGCTCCTGTTGCTGCCACCATTCAGAGACCAGTGAGAGAAGAAACTACAGCAACCCTGGTGTTCAGCCACAGACACCAGCAGAGCATCATCCCTGCCAGACCTGTACCTGAGCCTGTCCCTGTGTTCACTCCAGCCAGACCAGTGCAGGATGACTTGGTACGAATCCCTTAAACCTAAAGCCTTGAAGTAACACTTAGCAACAGTGTAGTAAATACCTTAACTGTAGCAAATATTACAATTGTTAACCAATTTTAAGGATTGATTTTGTTTTCCTCTGTTTTTCCTGTCTCAATACAATCCTAAAGTTTGTTTCTTGGATCTCATTCATCTATTTTGCAATTGTAGATTAATTGTTTTATATTTTGTACTTTGTATGTACTATGATGTTTTTAAATGACGCACTGCAGCAAATATTGTAATGAATTTATACCATTTAAGTCCTCTGGAATTCAAAATCTTTCATGATGAGCCACACTTGTTCTCAGTCATCACTGAGTCTTATTTTTTCCCCAGGACTGGAATGATGTTGATGACAACTCTGATCTGTTTGTGTGGCGAGCACACAAGACCCTGGCCAGCGAAGTCAACAGGCTCGCCGCCGTGAAGGAAGCAAACGTGGGCTTCGACAACCAGCGGGAGGTGCCTTCTGGGAAAATCAAAACAAAGAAGCCAAAGCAAAATGCAGTGTCACCCACAGGGAAACAGAGCTACAGTAGTAGTACTAGTAGTGAGGAGGGGCAGAACAACATATTACCTTCCAATACCTCTTATAACAACACCACAAACACTTGTAAACCTGGCAATGAGGTAAACTCTTTCTACGGCAACACAGTACCAGTGTCAAAGGCGTTGGCTCCTCAGAGTAGAGACACATCACAAGCTCTCACAGAGAAGACAAGCTACGAGGTTGTTCCCATAGACAGAACTCCTTCCCCTGAAGGTAGCACAAGTGGCTATGGCAACTCAGTGGACAGTTGTAAGGCAAACTCCTTCAGCGAACCAGAATTGGACACATCCCTAACGGCAAGTCCACAGTCGAACAGTGTGAAAGATGATGACACAGAGAAGCAGACTAAAGAAACCATGTGGGCTGGCTGGGTGGATGAACACATCAGGTCACCCACGGAGCTCATGGAGAGTGTAGATCTGGGAGAAACAGCTGCCTCTTTCTCTGAGGAAACTCCCTACAGTGTGGATGGTGATGTGCAGAATAACCACTCAGCTTCTCTGGAGAGTGATTCTTGCGACTCTTCTTCCCTCAGCGACCCAAGTGCTGCCAGCATGGCAGGACCAAACCAGGAGAGTAGCAGTGAACACGCAGAGTGTAGAGAGCAGAGTCAGAAGAGTAGCATTGAAAATGCAGCAAGCCTGGTAGAAGAGCATAGAGGGCAGAACAACAACAGTATCAGTGATCAGGTGGCAAGTTTGGTGGAAGAGTTTCAAGGGCTGAATCTCGAAAGTAGCAGTGAAGACACAGCAAGCCTGGTAGAAGAGTGTAGCGACCCAAACAAGGACAGTGGCAGTGAACACGCCTCAAGCCTTGTGGAAGCCGAAGAGTGGACCAACGATGACGACATCTACTACAGCGATGAGGATGACCTACTGGACGAGGTGTGTGAAAACTGCAACCCTCCCACATCTCTATCTGCCTCTCCCGAGTCCCCAGATGTGATCATTGAGGAAGAGTTCTACCTGCCCAGCCCTAAAACCAGCCTCACCGGTCTGGCACCCATCACAGAGGAAAGTGAAAAAGATACAGAGAATAATAACAACAACAACAACAACGACAGCAGCATCTGTAAGGACAATGTGAACAACAATAATAACAACAACAGCAAAACAGATGAGACAGAGATGGCAGGAGACATCTGTAACTGCAGCACAGTGCTGGAAGACGACACAGTTGTTAACAACCGACGTTCTCCCTCCAGTATTCAAGCCATCTGTGAGAAGGATGCTTCTGTAGTAGATGTCACTTCTTCCAGCAGAACAGATGATGTCAGAACTACAAAGGAAAGCGGTGCAGAGAAGCCAGTACGCCCAAGATCACTGCTGGGTGCATTTCCAGGTATTACCGTATAGATAGTTTTACACAAGGTCATATTTTTCAGAAATTTTTAAAAATAAATAATATGACAAATGAAAGACAGAAAGTCTTATGTTATATAGAAAAAATTACACCTGTTAGTAGTGTTACTAGTATATAGAACCAGAAGTGGAACTAGTCCTAACAAGAATTAAGAGATTGATTTCAGACACCCAGGTACAATCTTTTGTTTCCTTGCAACTTTACCCTCCCTGCCTCTGGCCAGGTTCTAAGGTCTTTTACCTCCTCTTATTCTTCACTCGTCCATAGATTATGACTACAGAAACGTTGGCAGATAAATACCTTTAATTGCAAACTCCTGGATGGAGTGTGTCAAGAGAGCATGGTCTTGCCAGCCTTAACCCGCAGGACAGGGCCGCCTGGAGGTGTGGAAATGAGGGCCAGTAAGGGCTAACTGCTGCCGACCCCTGTGGCAGGGACAACAGCAGCAGAATAATCAAGTCCTGGATAGTGTGAGTGTGTGTAAACAACATAGACTAGACGTTATATGTTCAACTTTACTGAACTGTTCCCCAGCGACCAGACCACAGTTCAAGCTGCCCAGGTTCCTGGTGAACACCGTGAGACAGCCCATCAACCCGCTGTACCATCAGGTGATCTTGGACAAGGGTCCAGCCGGGGCTCCCCAGGGTGACAGGAACACGGGACCGGAGCAGCGCAGGTTTCTGTTTACAAAGACTGCAAAACTCTACTACGGTATGTTAGCGCACCATGGCAGTGTGTCCATCTACTAGTATTTCTTATACGTTAGGTTTACCTTTTGTTTTTGCACTCTCTGACTGTTTCTTCTTCTTCGCCAAACAGAAAAGGTCAATGATCTGGACCAGTTACCATGCTGGGGTGTAGGGTTTCAATATGTAGCAAGTTGCAGGGCAGAGTTATGGAGAGACTGGTTGCCATATTTGAATGTGTTTGAGTCAGCTAGACCATCCCCATGCAAAGTTTAGATCTCCATTTTCATGTGTGCTATTGATTGCAAATGCAAGCTTTTAAGAGAGCCATTATCCTCCAACTTTACTGTGTCTGTATTTGTGTTGTACAACTGTTACATAACCTCCCTATATGATACCACTACTGACTGAACTCTTGCCTGTCCATCCCAGGCGACCACCCAGACCCTGGTGAGGTGCAGTGGGAGGGTGGAGTGAAGAGGTACAGTCGTGACGTCCTGCTGAGGTTCTCTCACAATCCTGCCTGCAACATCAGACCGGCCGGCCTGCCTGCCTTACCCTGCGTGCAGTGACAGGTTACTATCACATTCCTCTGTACTGGCCAACATGAGATTTGTTTCCATCATCTCAATTTTGCTTGACGTAATGCTAGTATATATTATGTCAAGTGAAATTTTTGACATCATGACCCTCTCAAATGCTATTTCCTGCATTGTGAGGAGTGAATTTTGCACATTGACGAAGTTTGGTTTGATGACATTTCTTTCCATGTCTTAACAATAACATGCCAATTTTTTTTATCCGCAAAGATGCTGGATTGGGCGAAGTAAAAGGTTATTATTACTTTTCCAACTCAGAACTCTGTGCAGCACCCATTTTGCCATCAATTGCTGGAACTTTCCACCGTGTGACATAAAATGTTTTACATTTGTAAACCAATCCGTCAACCTTGAATGAAAAAATTAACAGAAATCTTTGGTAAAAATATCAGGACAATCAAAGGACCACCACCTGCCACTCCTCACACCATGATTTGCCTCTCAAAATGAAGGAAATTGCGTTTTTGAACACTAAGTCATCCAAAACTAGATTGCGAGCGTCTTCCTCTACCAACCCCCATCCGATCATGAATCTAGGCTGATGGAAAAAAAAATTTAAGTTGGCTAGAGCCGAGTTCCAACCTACATGTAGGAGTTCTTGTTGGGTCTTTCATCTGGAGTCACTTATTATTTCAGTTCCATCAATAATGTCAAAGATTTTGCTCCGGGGCAGGGGCAGGGGTAGGTTGGATAATCCCAACTGTACAGCTTGTGCTCATTCTATCAGCACGACTCATAAAATTAGATGATTCATTGTTTCGGCCCTGCAAAAGTGTGTTACAAACCGCTATAACTTCAAGGGAAAATCAATCGAATAAATCGACTCTCCAGTTTGTCAAACTCTTGAGATTGCCCAGCATAATAAAACACATTTTTCAAAATAGGACGAGTGACATCTTTCTCCATGTACGTAGTTGTGCATGGGCACTGGAGAACCGCCTAACTGGTTGAAGTTTAGCCTTGGTGCCATCCTGGTTCAAGCTTTTGCATTCATTTCTGCAGTCATAGTAAGCCGAGGTAAACTTCAAGAAGTTAAGATCTGAACATACACTCAATCGCTATCCCTTTCTACATCTAATTTTTCCTGGTCATGCAAGATTTACATTGTTGTGATCACATTTAATGTACGTCATCATGAAATTTTAACGTTGCAGGATTTTCAAGCAGGCCATCGACAAAGGTCTCCAAGACAAATATTTTGGAAAACTGACATCTGAATTTTGCACAACACAATGCACAAGTATTCCAAGAATCCCCTCAGTTTTATATTGTATGACTTATGATGTGATCAAGCCTTTAGACATGCTTGAACTTTGTATGTTCAGATTTTCCTGGCAGACCTCCAGCCCTGCCAGTTTACACCATGCAAGGCCAGGAAGAGACGTGTGTATGAATAGAGAATGAGAAATTGATTGTGCGTGACTTTGACACTTGGCCTTTGGCAGGTGGCCTTGGCCTGTGTCTCTCTGCCAGAGCAACTTTCAGTCAAGCAGTAAAAAGCCATAGAAATTGGGATCAACAGGTCACACTTGGCTGAAGACGTTTGGTGTTCCCTCTAACCAAGTCAACCCTCCTGTGTCATCCCTAAGCCTTATAAATGCCTCTTCTATTGTTGCAGAGACAGTATCTCTAGAATGTGAATATATTGAGGGAACACGCTTGACTTGCGATGCCCTGAGGACCGCCGTGTTACATCTTGAGGATTATCCAGCCTGTCTTGTGGAAGATATCGTGACCGGAGATGCGGTTTCTGACCTGTTTCAATCTCGGGGAGAATTGAAATTGATGCCGGGTCATGCGAAGTTTTGGAACAATAAAATCCCCCAAGCGCTGAAGGGATTGTGTTCTGGTGACCCGCCCTACATGTGGTGTAGTAGGACAGTCACAGTAGGCAGTCATAGTGCTGTGGATGGCTTTAAAAACTGTACTCTGTCATTACTAGTACTGCAAGTGACAATGATAGATATATGTGGCCGCCAACGGCTCATACTGACCAAGGTAGAATCCTAATTCGCGTCAGCCCTGCTGCATCGGCTATGGCTAAATATGTTTTCTTCATGTTCATGTAAATGTGTGTTTGTAGTACAGTAGCTTTATATTTATGTTCCATATGTTTGGTCACTTTGGCAAGAATATGTAGACATACATGTACAGTAGGGTAGAGTAGGATAGAAACACTCAATCTTGATAATGATTTATTCCTCCACAGATTATAAGAGGTGTAGTCTTCAGGACTGCTGTACAAACTAAGGTAGTTCACATGGCGTACAGGAGTAGGTAATATATTATGCCTTATTGGTTAACCTTCTCCCTGCTACCTTACTCCATTACCAGTACAAATATGGTGCCAAATGGCTGCCTTAGCAGGATGAAGGTTAGAAAGTGATGTAAGATCCCAACTTACTTACAATGTAGATGCTGGCAGATGAGAGCTTGGCTTCCAGGATACGTGTTGTACATAGGGGAATATATCTATAGATTCTGATGTCTTCAGAGACTTAATTATTTTGTACAATGCTGTTTCCTTCATATGTTACAAGCGTATATTATATTTTTTTCTGTTGATATGTTGTGTTTTCTAACACCAACCATCTAACTATCTGAAAAGGATATATTCAGAAATGAATGATATTATGTACATGTGCTTACATTCATATGTGTAGTAAAATTACAACAAAAAGAGAATTAGCAGTAAATATGGAGTACACCACTGAAGCCTGCCTTATGGTTATATAGTGATGCCATCATGGAGCATACTATGGTGAACTGCAGTATATTATTGTTATTCAAACAAACTTATGAAGTACAATCATTTATAAAATGTAGTTTACAATGTGTTTTTCCTTTCAATTGTAACAAGAAGTCTATCCTCTTTAACTATAAGACAATGACGTAATTTAGAAGTATGATAATCTTTCATCAGGTCAGGTGGTCCTTGCTCACGATCAGATCTGTTCATACACATGGAAAGAGCAGGCTACGTGGGATGAAAGATAACATTTCTCTAGACTGATAACATTCATGCATACTGGCGGTATCAAGTCAAGTTCTATATACACATGAAGCCCTGAATTGACATTAAACATTACCTTACTGAAACCTTGTACTGAAACGATTGTAGAGTTCAAAAAGTGTCATGACATTTCAGCAGTTCTGGCTAATCTAGAATATTCTTGATACATAATTATGATGTTAATTATGATGAGTTATGTTTTCCAGATTAATATGCAATCACACATACATTAATCTGTAGATGCCATGTCTTCACTGGTGCTTCAAGCACGTTTATATACATTTTGCACAGATGTTTCCTTCCACACTGACCTGTTTGCATACCACGTTATTGGTCGTACAGTGTAACTTCGTACACCTCTTATATATATAAACAGGGTTGTTTATAAGATGGCTTTCGCAACTGTAAAAGCTGCCAGACAGTTTTACGTCCAGTTGCTAACTTTCATTTTGCTTTGCAATGCGATGGCGGTTCCCATTGTGTCCAGAACGGTGCCTACCAAGTTTTATTTTAGGTTAGGATCAGGCACGGTTATGGACTGTCTCCACATGTCCAAGAACGCAGGTTTGCACCGAACACGTTTCTGGATACTCCAGAAGCGTGGGCCTTGATAAAGCACGTTTCTGGATACGCGTGGACTATCCAGAACCGTGCCTAAGCATGGTCCGGGATAAAGCACGTTTCTGGATACGCGTGGACTATCTATAGAAATCACGAATCTGGATACAATAGTTCGATTCAACTAGTCTTTGTGCAAGTTTTGTTGTCCTTGTAGAGTCTTACAGCAGGTACACGGCCCAGTACACCAGGTTGAAGACGATGAAGGATGAAGGGAAGATGACTCGGCAGGCGTTGTCTATGGTCTTGTCCTTACAGAAGGTACACAGAAGGCCTTGTCTATGGTCTAGTTATTACAGCAGGTGCACGGAAGGTCTTGTCTATGGTGTGGGCCTTACAGCAGGTAGACGGCCCAGTACACCAGGTTGAAGACGATGAAGGATGACGGGAAGATGACTCGGCAGGCGTTGTCTATGGTCTGCGCCTTCCGCTTGCCTTTGTCTCCGGGGTTCTTCAGCTGCTGGATCTTTACGGCGGTGACGTCGTCTGGACCATGGTCCTGGAAAAATGGAGAAAATGGGATTTTTTTCATGACGTAAGATTGATATTGGGTCCTCTTCTGCCAATTTATTTATAGTTACAAGCAATCTTAGTGTCCATTACGTTTGCCAAGAAGGTAATGTTTTCAGAGGCGTTCGCGCGCGCGTCTGTAAACACGATAACTTGTGAAGCTTTAAATGGATTAACTTGATATTTGGTACGTGGGTAGGTCTTGATGAGACCTCGAAATGATTATATTTTGGGCCGCCTAGCGGCTTCTTATGGTACTGCAGTTGAACTTCAGGTGTTGATATCTCATGACCTAGACAATCTCCAAGAAGATCCTACGGTGGCAAGTCTCTGGCGCACATGGCCAATGGATACTGTCTTGCCACCGTAGGATCTGCACAGCCACCAAAAACAATACTGGGAAGTAAAGAGAATGAAACTGCTAGAAGTACCAGTGGTTTGGCGTTGGACAGTCTGCGCACCACGAGCCCGCCGAACCTGTAGACGAAGTTGACGACGGCGTACTCGATGAGCGCCGAGAAGACGAAAAGCTGGCAGACGACGATCCACACGTCAATGGCGCGAACGTACGAGACCTCGGGCATGGCGAAGGTGCGGCCGCTCTGCGCCGTCATGGTGAGGACCGTGGTGACGCCCAGACACACCCGGGCAGGGACGGCGGCGATGTCGATCCAGAAGGAGACCCAGGACATGATGACGATGGAGGTGGAGGGGATGTACATCTGCAGCAGGTGGTACGCCAGGCGCCGGGACAGGTGCAGCTGGATCTCCAGCGTGGTGAAGGTGTTCTTGTCACCTAGAGGACAGCATACAAAAGCCATATTGTTGTATCCAGAACCGTGCTTTATCCAGAACCTTGCTTTAGCACAGTTCTGGTTAGTCCACGCGTATCCAGAATCGTGCCTGTACAAATCTACGCTTTTGGATACGCTGAGCCTACCAGAACCGTGTATGATCCTAATCCTAAACCATTCAGGCATAGAATTGATATCCAGAACCGTGGTTATCTAGTTTTATGCCTGAATGGACGTAGATTTACCCCAGGCATGGTTCTCGGAACACTGGACTATCCGGACCCGTGACTAGGCAACGGTACAGTTGGTGCATTGTCGCACTGGAGAACCGTACACAACAATATTCGCCTTTCTTTATATAATATACGTCTTCTATAGCCGGGTTGCCGCCGGCTCCCTTGTCGCTGGCTAGGGACAAGGGAGGCGGTGTTAGCTACAGAGGATGGCATCTAGGCTACGTCTTCTTGGCTTTGGATTGAAGTTTGATCAAACCACCGCATACACACTTGACGAAAACTACCGATGTGTTTGTTTACGGTTTAGCCCTACCTGTCTCCAGTAGACTGCACTCCCTGCTCCGGTTCTGGCAGCTGCCGGTGAAGTACTGACACCCGTCACACTCCTGCGTGCCCACGGCGTCCTCACAGTGCTGCGTGTCCGTCAGGCAGTCGTCTGCACCCTCAAACCCGCACGTGCTCGCCGCGTAGGTACAGCCTTTTCCTGGGACAGGTAGAGATGGAATATGCGACACTTTCGTTACACTATCCTTTGGTCACATCATTTAACACATTACCATGACTGTCTATGATACAGAATTGGAAAATGCACATATAAGTACAGCTACCTCTGGTCTGTTGCTGCCTGTTCATCTGCCGAAGAGTGACACCAATATAATGTGAGTTGTGTGCAGTGTACAAGCAGTCCATGTAGGGGTGTACTGATGTCTACTGTCTGGTTGTCTAATTGCACTCTACCGTTCTTTTGAGCTGTACTTTAGCCTGGATCCAGTGAAGAGGCCTACCCTTGGTGCTGAAGTTTCAGTTGTTACTTATTTCTCCACGTTCCTTCGTGGTTGGGAAGGAAGGAGTTACTGAACCATATGTTTTGTTGGTTGGTGCTATTTGTTACCATGTTCTTCACGTACCTTTGGCGTTGGGAAGGAATGAGTTGACGTAAGCCTTGGTAGTGATGCCGGTGAGTTTGAACTGCGAGTGGAGCGCCGTGGCGTCTGTCACCACCGGCACGTCCTGGGCCCAGATGAACGGGAAACCCCACTGCAGGCGGACGTCATCAACTAAAGAGGAACATAAACTTGATGAAGCTTTCGTAATATAATCTCCAAACAGATCCTACGATGGAAAGGCATTGGCTAAGGAGTGACCATTAGCCACCGGTCACTCCATGGCCAATGGATGCATAAGCAGATCCTACGATGGCAAGGTAGTAACCATTGGCCATGGAGTGACTGGTGGCTAATGGTCACTCCATGGCCAATGGATACTGCCTTGCCACCGTAGGATCTGCTTGGGGATGAACATAATGCCGCATATAACATCAATTAAACTATCGGGTCTTTAAAAATTCAGACTTTTCAGACACCATCCACCGTCTTTCATAATCACCAGTGAATTGTGACAGAGTGTCTGGAGATAAGTGGGACTCGTAGAACTGGTACTGGTGTTAGCAACGGGTAGAACAAGTTTAGAAAGTATACTAGTTCAGTTTGTTCTCAGAGACTCGTTCGCAGCTCTCTGATGAAAGACAGTGATTGCTATCTGAAGCGTCTCTCACTGTTAGAGACCTTATCCAGCCGTTTGATTTATATTGTATAACGAAGGGATATCATTTATCAGGAGCTTTACATGGATTCTCCAGCCAGCGTCTCCTCAAAGATAGATACCCAGCACTGGTAATCGGTCCGTTGTTGGATGCTTTAATGATAGTCTGTAGGCAGAAGATCGTTTTCAGAGATTACCTTATCTGGCACAGGGACCGTACTGTCATCCATCACAAAGTTCATAGTTCCTAACTGTGTCATTCAGGCCTTCATCTCTGTGCCAACTGGAGTCTGTAGAAACGGTTCTGTCTTTGATAACAGGCCATATTTCTCCGGCTATCAGGATAGTCACAAAGGGTATAGTTGGCAGGGTGCCATGTTCTTAAGTGTGTATTTTGGGGGAATCAACTTTATGCCAGACCAATTTTATGCCAGACTAAGGAATACTAGAAGTACTCTTAATCTTATGGGTTATGCTTGGCAAGGGAGGCCATCTTTTTTGTCGCGGTAAGGGGGAAGCCAGAGAATGATTTTTGCATTGCAATCTTTTTTGTCCGGGTGCCATGCCCCGACAGCCAACTTTTACTACGTGTATTTGATACATTGCCGTGTTCTTGTCATGGGCAATTGGAACTAATTTCACCAAGTTTCCGATCGAATCGATGTCTGCACTACTATTAATACTAAAGCGGTTTTGACTTCATTCTCCTTTGATCATTCGCGATGTCATAAATGTTAAATGTGGTCGGTTACAAATCTAATTCTCGATACTCACCAAACTTGTTATAAATCTTGTATTTTCATCGACGTTTTTTCTGATGGACTAGATGCGGCGGTCTGGGGCAATCAGTTACATCGTATGACCGATGTTGTTAGTAGCCTGGTAGCCAGAACATCGCAGGCTTCCCGAAGTTTCAGCTAACTACATCGTCTTACACAATTTTGTTCCGTCAGGGCATATCGTTCTCTCGGCGTTTTAACGTGTCCGTTTCCGACGATTGAAAGCGAACACTTATTGTTGTTTTAAAACATAAAGGCACACTTGTTACTGCCTTGTCCTCCAATGGGCCGTATAGTTTATAAAATAGCAGTACTTTAACATAATTCAACAGAAATGTACGGCAATTTTGCCTAATTTGGACAAAATAACAATACTTGATCACATAAAATATCAATACCTGTACGCCATTCATCATTCCAAACCGCCTATAATGAATGATATTTTCAGACTTCAAGTTCAACTCCTCAAAGATACAAATTGCATGCAAAAGCAATAAAGCAATAGGCTGGCTTCCACGTCAAGACAAATCGAGTTTAACTGCATTGTGATAAACGTGTTATGGCTGCAATTTCCCTGCGATCTCTGAAGCGCAGTAAAAGCAGGAACAGTTACACCGGGTTTAAACGAACCCCTTTCTTTTATCTGTCCCAATAGAGAAACGGAATGAAGAGTTGTCCAGTTATTTCTGCATTGTGGCAGAATTAGTGCTTGAGCAGCTTTGTGGCGGATGGTTTACTGCCAAGCCCCAGCTATCAAATCTTCTTGCTGTTGCCCTTAACTTACCTTGGGTTATTGATAGGTAGCGTAAATAGTGCGCTGTACGTTTAATGTATAATATATATTCAATCAAGGTTTATTGGCGGTTTTACAGGGTGCCTTTTATTTCGGATAGTATATTTTTTTTAGTTCTGTGCAGTTTCCTTTCACAATGATTTCTTCCAGCCTATGTATATGCATGTGTGTGCACGAGTATTCCTCCCAGACCTGTCTACAGGTCTCCTAACAATTAGCCTACATAGATGTATGATGATCCTAGCGACCCATCGTACCCCAGGGGTGGACGTTTCCTTTTGTACATGATAAAATCTGGCTCATTTTACACGAATGATTAATGGTCCGTCCTGTGAAAAGTGTCGTGGAACAGTAAAGTCGCCTCGTATGCTCTTTTTGTTGTTTATTGAGGCATAATGTGGAGGTACAAACCGCTGTTTGTGTGTGTTAAGTTTCATGACCTATCCGTGCTTGCGCATCAATCTATGGATTTTGATAGGAGCCGTTTGTTATAATTGTAAAGAGTGACATCCGACATTAAGAATGGCGAGGACTTGATACAGTGAGGTTTTATTCTGTAGCGTATAAAATTTTTATACCCAGCCTGGACGCGCAGAGAAATGGCCAAGCAGGGTAGCCCAATAGTCCCTGTACAGGTAGCAATGCTTCACTCACACCCGGGTGTGCCTTAAGAATTTTATATAGAGAATTTATCCTCCGTTAGATGCCTTTTCATTGAGACTATTCGTTCCCTTGTCAATAAAACGTGATGAAATATGATTCAGGGTTCTAAAAGTGCACGGAAATGTATTTTAGGACAGTACATTACATCATGATGTCAGCACAAGGCACGTTTCAGTCACAAAACTTACGAGGGCCTATTCAAACAGTTCGTGACCTCGCGAATAAATGAATCTATCAGCAGGGAGAATAGCTCAAATTTTAGAGCATAGATATAAACAGTAAATCTTGTATCAGTGTCCACCATGACTCAGGCCATCGTACGTATCTTCTTGCAGGCAACGCCCTTTGCTTTGGACAGTAACGCTCGGAAAAAACGCCCATATACGATAAAGATATCGAGCTGCAACTACTTGTAGAGCTAGAGCTGTGTGGTAAGCTTCAAGGATGCCCTAAGGTTCTGCGTAAGTGAGCTTTCCGACCTCTTTCCGGTTACAACACAAAGGGATCCGGATTCCTCATCAAATGTTTTGGCAGTGTGTCTCGGTAGAAGTCAAGAAATGGAGAGTATCATAATTGCTTAATGGTCCAAATATCTCTAGTTACAGTTTTAGTTCGTGTTTAATTTAGAGTAGTGTTGTTCAAACGAGCGTCACCTGCTAAGAGATGACCATGTTTTTTTAAAAGTTTGGATGAAATTTGATAGAAGTCTTTGAAGTTTATAGTTTTGCCTCAAAGTTTGAGTTATTCCCTGTGCTTGTGGGTGAGGTCGCGACCTTTCGGAACGTCGGCCCGTGCACGTATACATGCGGGACTGGCAATCTCCTCCACATCCATCCAGGTCTTAACTTTATTGCTGAACCAGATGCACAAAGTGGAATCTAGGTCAACAAGGGATTGTGAGAATATGGCCATATGCTCGCGTTTATGAGGGATGTAAATGGATTTTTAAATGACGCCCGTAAATTCTGATGCACGAAGTTTATATTATTTTTGTACATATAATGAAGTGTGGATTTGTAATATACAATTAAGCAGCCTTCATGTTGTGCCTTATGTACATATTTGCCCATTAAAGTGAAAGTTTATAGCAAATTCCAACCCGAGGGCTAATTGCAAGAACATGATAACAAAATAAACAGTGCAATTAAATGAGAGAATAATCATCTCGTCCCGTGAGGACCGAACGACCCAAAAGCGTGTCACCTTTACACATATACAAGATTACTGTAAGAAGATAAAGACCTAATCCTTTTCAACACGACATTTCGGGCATCATGGCCCCGTTCTCATCATATATCGCAAAGTAATGAATAGGATCTGAAAAACATCACGAGCACCTACAATAATTGATGTCACCCATTGTTGTAACCCTCGATGTTCTATTCATTTCAACTGGCCAATTTAGTGCCACACATGCTATTCTTCGTTATCAATCGAGAAGCAATTTTGAACGCGCAAGAAAACAACGTTAAATCTATAGTCGTAAAACGTGGGTGGATGGGCTCCATATAAACCGTTAGATGTATATTGTATATATATATATATATATATATATATATATATATATATGTATATATATATCTGCCATTTGGCCTTTCTTCTGGCCCCTTTCAGTTCAAAGTGAGACTGTCGCCTGTTTTGATGAAGCCTTTTTGACTCACAACACAGAGGGGCGCGGTGGTGGCTACGTTTTAAATCACTTTCCTTTTAGATACAATATGATCTTCCTAATAAGTTCGATCTCGGATGTAGATCTACTTAGTATAGATAAGATGCATTTTGTAATCATATCACAATTGACAGAATGTATGAACAGGTTATCGGCAAGTATGCGACATTCGGTATTGGATGTCTACCATGAAAGGCACAGGAGTATTCAAGGGCACTTGGCTGTTTAAGTAATGGCCGTCTAGTTCGAGATTTAAAAGTTTAATACTTTAAAAGCAGGTCACAAAGTCCGTAGTACAGTACCTCCGTCCAGCTTGAGCTTGCATCGCTGTTTGTCCAACGGGAAACTCTGTAGGTTCATCGGGCAGGAAGCACGGATGTCATATCTGCGGGGAAGAAGAAATGTTTTGATAAACCATCCTTTTACTATGATTGAATGATGTTTTTGACTCCACCAAAAATGGCCGCCTGTATCGTGCTTTCCTGTAGATAAGCTGAAACTGTAAGAGAATCAAGTTGAGTAAGTAGCCATGGACTAGCTATGATATAAGGCAACTCATCCTTCTTGAAATGTTTGCATTGGCTGGGTTGAATCTAGCATAACGAATCGGTATCCGGATCCTAACGAACGGCTTTTGGTGACGCTTTCCTCCCAGCCAGACAGACTAAACAGGTTTACCCCGTCGTTCTATCTTCAGCAATCAGTCTTTGGAATAAATCATTAAAATGTGTAAATTGTCGATACGGGCACGTCCTTGGCATTTTTCAGGCCGAAATTTAGTCGTACCTTATTTGATCAATATACCTCGTAGCTTTAAATCTACATGTTAAGAAAGAGGAGTGGCAGGGAAACACTATCACGACTACCATTCAAGGGTGTGCTAAATGTATTTAATATTTACTTGTCAGATGTACAAGAACAGGAAAACTGTAAGTAGTCGGCAACAGAAAAAACTATATATTGACTTGGATACACAATATTTAGTTCAGCCTCCCTGTCCGTAGAGCTAGTGGTTCCTCGATAAAAAAAGCTTTTTATTGATCAGTGCCGGTCAAATCATATTTACTTTATCAAAAAAAGATCATATCCCCAGAGGTCTCATTGTACACGGAGGACGAATGTAGGCCTTATTTGGTTAGCCTACCAGCCATTTGTGTCGACTTCTTTTTCACCGAGAGAACCTCCAATTTACTCTCGTTGGATTAGTGGATTAGTGTCCATCTTTTTTTGAGTGCAGGTTCAGTTTAAGTACACAATCTTGATTACGGGTTTTTTCTAAAGCTCGCTTCCGTGACCTCTTTCTGTCACATCTGAGTGGTTCTTCCTAGTCTAACAAATGTGCCCTCTCCATCTCTACAGACACTAATCCCATCCAGCCCACACACCAGCACATCGCCTTGATGGTAACCACAGGCTAGATATTTATGATGAGGCAGAACCTGGTAGAACTAAGTATGAATGGTTTTAAAGCTTACAGCCATTCCGCCATTACTGCAGGAAACCCTAGAGTAGCTTCGTGTTGCGTTTGGTGCAATCTTACGTGAAATATTCAAAGCTTATCTAAATGTCCTTACTATTGTCCTGCTACAGAAACCTATTTGTACGGCAAAGATAAAGTTGCTGTATATCACAGGTCCCAAATGGATCTCAAATACAATCTTGCTGTTGCGGTACTGGCCATTCTGTCCGTGGCGTCACCCACTTACCAACGCAAATTGGTTGCTTTCACCTTTGAGAAGAGACAGCAAGGCGATTCCTTCTCAGCCGGCTGCACGTGAAAAGCTACGAGACGATTTCTATCTCTCCGTATAATCGCTCCGGACCATACGCATCAGCATTTCTCTGCCTTTCCAATACCGTAAATCGCAGCATGAGTGTGAGTTATATTGGCTCTCGTCTCCAGGCCTTTTGCCATCGTTTTTCTTCATCAATCCACCTCGCGTATCTCCGTTACCCAGCTCTTCCCGGAAATATTTTCTATCAGTAATCGGTTATGTATCTCCTACGGGAAATAACAATCTTGGAACAATTTGTCGGAGCCAGAACGAAGGCATCAGTCTAAATACATTTCTCGCTAGAAACTTTCCAATGTCGTACATTGTAGTGAAGCAAACTACGGTCTCTTTTCTGGCCTTTTCATCTCTATGAGCGAGGTATTTTTCTACATCTATGTACTTTTAGTGGGTTATCTTTCTGACTCTTCACCTGCTGACCAATTTACCAGTGGCGGCATCATTCTAATTACCTCTCACACCGGAAACTTTCTTCAGTTCTTTACCACTTTTTCTTGTTGAGCTGAGACATCAATCCGATGCAAATGATCCCGGTCGATACTGATGTAGGTACAAATGTTGTTTGAGTGTCTTAATGGCGCAGTTCTGGGAGGACAAGTGTTTGATGTCTGTGGGTAGCAGCTGCAGGAGCCGCGTGATGACCACCTCCAACAGGTACCAGGTGGGATCCTGGGATTAATCTTCCGCACGATCAATGTGAAACGCCTGTTCCTCAACAAATTTGTTCTCTGTCCCTCCGGCCATTTAGAACTTGTAATTGGAACTTTGACCTGTTTCTCGCATAGCTATTAGAGCACTGGTCTTTCTTTTCACATCAGTAGAAGTACTGTGTACTTCGTCTCACTTTCTACAGTGGAAGTTTGCAAATGGGAGAAACTTGAGATTTACTGAACACACCTTTCTGTCCAATACCATTACTGGGGAAAGTAAGTTAGTGTTTCGAAAGTTTTGACCTGCAGACTATACTACCTACTACACAATTGAACACACTTCCCATTATTAAAACAGATCAGCCTAGGTGCACAGTTTATGTACAAGTCTCCACTCCTTACAAAAGTTTATATAATGTTGTTTGCGAGGAGTTGTATCTTTTCCCTACCTCAATGCCCGGTTGATGAATCCGTCCCGTGACACCCACATGGACGTCTCGTCCTCCCCGGTGGTGACCGTGGTGGTCTTGGCGTTGGTGAAGTCGACATGCGGGATCCACATTTCCACCTCCGGGGCTACCGGCACGCGCTCCTCCTTCGTCAGGTTCGCCACCCGAGGGTCCCGCCACTGCTCCACCAGCTGGATGCTCACCTGGAAGTCCTGTACAGCACATGTGCAGCATAGGTGTTAGTGAGAAGAGTCATCAAGAGAAAGTTTGTATCCACAACCGTAGCCTGGTTACCAGACCTATTTTAGCTCCTGATTCTTCATCCTCGCCGCAAATAGGTTAGGGAGGAGAAAAGGTTGTCCAGAACCATGCTCAGATGAGGTTCTGGATAGTCCATGCAGATGCGTATCCAGAACTGTGCCTGGGGCAAATCTTCGTTCTTGGACACGCAGAGACTATCCAGAACCGGAACCGTGCCTGATCATAACCCTAACCCATTCAGGCATAGGACTAGATAGGCACGGTTCTGGATACGACACCAAAATACCCATTAAGCTAAAATGACATTGTGACGCTAAAAAAACTTTAGGGAGGCAGTTTCGTGTTAGACCTGTACATACATACACGCACATCAAATCGGGACCTTATTCTGCTGATTGACTTTCATGGGAAGATAACGTTTTTTTCTGTAACAGAAGTACACTTGTCTTAACGCTCAGCTGCAGCAGGTTTTAACTCGAGATCTTGTCGAGCAAATTCCATTCATCAGTCATACACCTCCCTAAGCTCCTGGGCTGTATCATTATCCCCACTTCAGAACGAATGCCTGTAGACGTAATATATATAATCACGGGAACTTACGCGCTTACAAAAGTGCATCCCTAAGCCGTTTCCCTTAATGAACCGGCTTTCATTACTGCTTCCTCTTCATTGCAATTATTGATTTTGTAGTTAGGGGAATGCACCCCGCTAAGTCTACATGCCATATGGCAATTACACCCTCGTACGGCGGACCGCAATATGCCCAGAGGAGCTCAAATTATCAACCACAGCCCGCCACGGATCGACAATACAGAGCAAGGTCGTGGCTTCACTTGGAGTTGAGAATTTTCTTCGCTGACAGGTGTCTCCGTCTACAGTACTGAGGATATCGCTGATTTGGCATTCCGCGCGTGTTGTAACCCAGAAAAAACCCACATCACACGTTAGTAGCTACTAGGAGACGACGTCGCTTTGGGTATCAGGTCACGTGAAGTCTCTCCGAAGGGGCACTGATCTGTGCAGCGCGTTAGCGATGGGTATCATGACTTTATTGATCCGCAGTCCACAGAAACCCCATCAGGGTGGAGTAGCTGGAATATCAAATCCAGTTCCATCATGATACTAACATTTCCGATGTTGTGTGTGTCGTTTTTAATTTGGAAGGCTTAGCACACATAGAAGGGCGGAATCTTTGTACTACTACTACTACTACTACTACTACTACTACTACTACTACTACTACTACTACTACTACTACTACTACTGTCCGTCCATGTGATATTGCTATTTGCTAGTCATTTCATGGTCAAATTATTCTTGTTGGCTAAATCAGCCATATTGTGTTCTATTGTTGAAACTATAACAAAAACTAAAACGTTAATTTTCTGCTTTGTTGCTACAAATATAGAAATATATATACGCTCTACCTTGTTGCATTACAAAATGGCCCATCTGAAAGGAGAACGGAGACGTTGATTTTGTTTTTATGGGGTTATGATGGACTTGTATGAGTACAGGAGCGACAGACTGGTTATGCTTAATAAAACACTGATTGTTCATAAAGACCTGCCGTCTGCATGCTGAACCTTTTATTAGTCACGGCTTATTGGTGTCGTAAACTAGCCTGAAACTGAAGTACGGGAACATGTGTTGATCGTTGCGCTTGCAGGAGACTGATTTTATGACTTTATTACCCCTCGGTTACCCTTTACACGGATTGGTTGATTCATAAAACGTCTGGCTTCAAAGTTTCTTAAACTGTATTTGACATAAAAGTTTATTTCCCATTTATAGTGTTTGACGTCTTCCTGTTTTAGATGAAAAGTAAGAACATGTAGAATGATGTATTGAGCCAAAAATGTGGGCAAGTCCAACTTCATTTGCTTCGGATATTGCGTTTGATCATCATCATCATCTAGGCAGTTAAAATTCGTTTTCATTACGTAAACTTGTGCCTTAAAATGCTTTACAGCAACCGCAGCTGGAGTACCCGGAACGGGCAATGATGAAGGTTAGAATTAATTGCCCGTCATTAGAGGCAAGAATTATCCGCCAGAGTATAACCTATCGTGTAGAAATACACGACCTATTACCGACTGAATCAGGGTGAAATTGACGCAATCCTTCATAATTAGTCCCATACGTGCGGAGCAGCTGTTAATCCCTCCATTCGTCACAGTTTGTCGTCGCCCTAGTCAACACACACAGTCTGATTGGAACAAAGTGATGTCAAGTTCAAGATTACCAACGGTAGAACGTGATTGGAACAAAGTCAAGTTAAAGGCAACCTTAACAATGACAGAATCTCGTGCGAGCAATAGGACTTTACATAGGAATCAGCTTTGTTTACACATGAGAATAGAGCTTACCGGCTCAGTGTCGCATCTTAGTGATGAGACGCTCACCAGAACTTATTAGCAAGTCACACAAAAGGCGTTTTTCATACTCAGAATATCGATAACGATCTCGAAGAAAATGGTGATCCAGATTCATTACTTTTAAGTGTCAGTTAAGTCAGTGAAGAATTTATAAAGTCAGTAAAGAATTTACATGTACATGTCCCTTTGTGTAAGTGTAAGATACGCTTTGGGTGCCAGCTGGCAATCCTTCCGAGGGGAGTGTCACTGATGTCCCTTCGGGTAATAACTCATCCAGTCAACATCTAAGTCCACATTAGTCAGATACAAACGGCTGGAAACAGCAGTGACAAACCCTTTGTTAGCACAGGGATGAGCTGTTAGGTAAACCTACGTCCAATTTCCGCCCTGTCATCTCCTCATACATCTATCAGCGAATGTTCGATTCGTCTTTTGCGGCTGCCCGGATACACCGGTTAGCCTGTTCATCGTATGTAGTTAGTGGTAGAAAATGTGAACTATGGGCATTTCTTTTGGTAAAAATAAATATTCTTGTTTGTTTAAAATAAATACAAACTTAAGATAGTTAAACAGCTATTAGTGGTAGAAAAACTTTGAGAGTGTTACGTGTGATGATTCATAGCTTATAAAATGCTGCAACATTTAGATATTGGAGAAACGTGCAAGTTACGCCCGTTTATCAGAGTAGCCAGTCCTTGAACTGGCATATACATGTACATTTGCAGTAGTCATTCTTCCATCTCAAAAGATGATGGTAGCATTCTAAGTCTGGTGTTGTGGCTGTGTGCAGCGTCTAGTGTGGCTTACCAGCCCTATCTTCGCATGGTAGCTCCAGCCACAGTTGGGACACAAGAAAGTTGAGATATTTTGTGGCTGTGATCGTGGCATATATATTGCGCATCAATAAACGCGGAATAAACATAAAAAGAGCCAAGGACACCCGATATTGCAAAAATTAACAACTCTCTTGGCCATTTTTGGTTTATCAATATTTGATTATAGCCCATCTCTGCTGTGATTTCTGCTCGTCATTAGATTGCAGAAGTAACCAGGAAGGCCCCGGTGGTGCTAAGGTCGGCTCCCAGGGGTGTGTTTCGTTCCTGCGCGTCTTTGTGGACAATCTAAGATGCCACTCCCATCAGGCCCCTGAGATTGCACATAAAGATGCCGATGGAAGCGGCCTTTTCGTTTGATTGCGGGTGACTCCTACTCTCCAAGCAGAGGTTGTGGGGGAATGATCGTTACCTTTTTATGTATGGCCGTTTTTTGTCGCTACCCCCACCAACCGGTGGCCGGCGATCTTCTATGGCTAATGGATACTGCCTGGCCAATTTGATACTGTCTTTTTGCCACCGAAAGGGATCTGCTTGGAGATTAGGTGACTCCATCCAGGGCTCGGTACAAGGACACAGCTCATCAGGTGCTAACTTGGTTCAGGACCAGTGGCACCAGCTTACATGTTATCAGCAGATAGACAGTGTGTATGGGACGATCTGCTGCTGTGTAGCTTGTTATTTGTACGTGTTCTTCTTCTTTGTAGTTTGAAAGTAGAAAAAAAAAGAAATGTTTTATGTCATGCCCATAATCAGGCTTTAGAGACTGGATATTAAAAACGTAATTTGAGACGTTTCAAGTTTGAACGTACTAGGCAGCAAAGAAATTACCAGACATCTACACATTTGCCTAGTGACATGTTGGATATATAAATATATATCATAACCATTATAAGCGCGCCAACCTAATAGTACTTTGATTATTTTCATTTCTCATATAGAACTTCATACTTAACGGTAATATCACCCAGACTTACCGTAATGGAAGGGACTTCTGCAGCGCAGGTGTTGATGGCTTTTAAACACGGCATGACCATTAAAACAGTCGACTGACTGATACGGAGTCATTAGCAAATGGTGTAGGTCCTGAGACAATACTACGGGGAGGCGTTCTTCTCAGGGTTGATGTTTCTGATCTGAATTGTTCTACATCAAGATTATAGGGCTGTGAGCATTAGACTAATGTTGGAGTGGTAATGCAGTGTCATTCGTGCAGTGCTCCTTCGTCTTGACTAAGAACTGCATGCCTGAGGGGAGGGTGGTATTAACACTGCTCAACGTGGAACAAAAGGGACTGAAGAAATGCAGCGGATGCTACTTGAGACGTCTGACAGTTTTCAAGTCTATATTTTTTAATGTGTATCAAAGTACCAATTAAATGGCTTATCTAACTACGTGCCACTTCATCAACTTTTGCGTCCATGAATAGTGCAGTGCCTAAAGGGAATATGAAAGTCGTCTCGATCCAGTCTAGAGTACTGTCTTACCAGTTTACCTGTGTGTGATGATATTATCCTGTACCTGGAGGCTTATGCTGATGACTGTGCTTACGACGACTAACATCATCGCCGGAGATAATAGATTGTGTACATAGTCACTCCTACCCTGGGAGCCAGACTGGTATCAGTCCGTTAACCGTTTTCCATCGGTAGCCAAGAGCCCTACGCCCGCCTATCTAAATTTACTGCTTTGGGGGAGTTGATCCCGAGGGAGCTTGGCCCGCTCTATAACTCCCTCGGGCCCAACTCCACCGTAGCGGTAATTTAGATAGGCCGGCGTAGTGCTCTTGGCTACCGAAGGAAACTGACTAACGGCCCGATACTAGTCTGGCTTCCAGGGTAAGTCACTCCCGACAAACTGCCCTAGGGCGAGCGTGCACGACAGATCCAAATGAAAGTAGGACAAAGTCAAAGTTCTACGCACATCTTGACGCCATGCCTTCAAGTGAGGATTGAGGTGTTCAAGAATTCATTATTTCCTAGAACTATCGCAGAGTGGAACTCACTGTCAACAAGTACAGTAGGGGCATTGTCATTAGATAGCTTTAAACAGTGTCTAGAGTTAGAAGTTCAAGGGTTAGGTGTAACAAGTTGATCGGTGTAATATAGCCAGCTGCCGCCGCGCCGCGTGCCTGCGAAGCTGGTGTGTTATGCCGAAAGGCGGTTATACCGGCTAAACAGATACAGATACAGACAGACGCACCGATAGAGACGCACCCATGCTTCCCCTCAGCGCAATGATGCACTCACAGAACCTCTTCTAAAATCGATGAGCTATTTCGTGACGGCGAAGTAGGAGTAGCTTCATGTATGACGGGCGGAAAAAACGGCGCTAAGGCAATTTTACGGATTACTGAGCTGTCGCGTCGGTCGCGGATTGAGGCCCCGGGGACATTTGAGCGAAACGTAGATGCGTGAATCGTGTCGTGGTGAACATGTATGAGTGCCTGAACATTAGTGTGTTGAGCCTTTAAGTAGATTACTTTGTGTATAAGAATGAATTTAAGCTTACTCAACACACTCTTCTCTATTGAAGAACACTCGAGCATCGGAGCCAATCACTCACAACAACAGGCACACTTACTCCAATGAAGGTATTTGGAAAACTGTCATCTGAGTAACAACTTTCTTGTGTAAAATTAGAGACCATCTTACTTAAATGTTTCGGCGTTCGGCAGAATCCTCCCTAATTTTGCCAGACATCTACCTCTATGATGTGGAATGCAGCGAAGCATTGTCCTAACTTCCAACGAAGTCATGAACAAGTCATGCCTGTTCACGGTGACTCTGACCACCCTGTGTTGGAGCAGTACTAGAGACAGCACTAGCATGGCGACTGTTCGGCTCCTAAAACTGTTTTTTTTTTTTTAATTTTTACACTGTTTATTCAAATCGTGAAAACAAGTACAGGTAGAAGTACATATACATACACAGCTACTATTAACAACTTTTACAGCCATATCCCCAAAATACACGGACCAATCACAAAGAACAGTCACTAAAAAAAGATGTCTAAATCACTTAGACACAACAGGTCTTTAGACTGTCCTAGATATCACAAATGAAGTTTCTTGACATTATTGTCGACTGAAGCTTAAATCTCCATGTACAAAAAAGATTTGTTGAATTCATACATGTACCCTATTAAGGCCAGTATAAATACTCATGTTAAAACATGTTCACTTAAAGAGTCCTAGTGAGACATTAATTTCAAATATTTTCAGATTTCAGTAATGTAATGAATACCAGAAGCCAATTCCTGGACATGGCTCCTAAAACTGTTCCTGGTATCGATTTTCTCCAGAGCTGACAACTCACTAGTTAACCCGCTCTGCGAGGAAACACAAACCCCATTTATGGACCTAATACAGCCGCAATTATGCACCATATTGTCCTGAGTCGGTGAAATGAGAAACCGCTACCTGCACATTAGCGTGACCGTAAAACGTAAGCGGATTGCAGCAGCTGAACGGTTGGGAATCCGTTATTTGATCTCAGCGTTTACAGGCAATTGAGCATGATTCTCCTCATATACGGCGTTGTTCATTGATCGTATAGTCAGGAAATGTTATAAAAGGATTACATACGATATTCTGCCTGTCAGGGGAATACCAATGACACTGTACAGTGCACGGGGCGTCTATTGTTGTGCCCGCTTTGTATTGTCGTGATGTCTTGCTGCAATCCCAATTATATGTCAGAGTCTATTATTGTGAAGCTACAAATTTTGCAAATCGCCTGCGAACTTGACCAGAGAGCTAATTACCGAGATGTAGAGTTAGCATGAAAGTTCATCTTAGTTGGTAAAATACATGAGATGTAGAGTTGACTAGATACAAAGTATTGCCTCTTACCATGGTGGCTTCCGACACGGCTCCAAAACTGAGAAGATGAGCAGCACAGGTCACGTCCAGCCAACGAGCTGAGGAAGAACGCCAGAGAAAAGTCTCAATACAACTTCTGAGAAAATAAGTTTCCCCCCTTATTAGTAATCTTTGAAAACCAAGGATGTCACAATACTGGGCTGGATTTAAAGATCCATTCATAGAGTGAATTCTACAGAGTTGAACTTTCAAGATAATAATGTATGCATCTAAGGCATACAGTTGAATCCAGTCATGTGGGTATTCATGGTCGCATGGGTCTTTTATCCAAGGATCCAATTTTCTAGAGCAAGCGTCTTAACTAGTATTTATTTATAGTATCGTTTTTTTATGGACCGGCTCCGTTGTTGTCAGGGTGAACATGGAACAGCGTGTATAGACTTCTGTAAACCATGTACATCTGCCAACGCCCAACGCAATATGGTGGCGCAAATTCAAGGTCTAGCGGAAGATTAAAACTATCGAAAATCATTTTGCCAACGGAAATTTGATTAGCACTAATCAAATGACAAATAGAAGCGGATAACAGAACCAGGACAGACGTATGAGGCGCTTCTGGATATTGGCATGATGATGTACGAACTGCTTTGATGAAAGTCATCAATCGAAGAGTGACATGGGGAAAAACTTAGCGCTGCTGTGTTCAGGGATGTCTTTTGAATAAGCTACGAAGCTTCACAAGCTTGTTCTGCCGCAAATGACCAAAGGTGGTTCTCCTGGCAATGGTTATAACTCTTCGGAATGATCAAACCAGAACTTGCAAGTCTTCACTATTTTGACATTTGCTGACATTTTGACATCTCCTGGTAACTAAATTTAATTTGGATATTGTTGCAATATCTGAAACATGGCTTGCTGATAATATCGAATCTGAGGCAATTTCTCTTGAGGGTTTTTAGCGACCCATTCGTCGCGACAGAAACAGACACGGAGGCGGTGTCCTAGTTTACATGTACGTATCAGACTTCGAACCAGTGTCAGCTGAATGCAGCTGGCTCAAATTGGTTCTACTAGGACAATCGCATATTCTTTTCACTGTGTATTACCGGCCACCTGCCCCAGGACTTAAACTCTGTTGATCAATTCATTGACTCATTTCGCGACTCTGTTTTACTGCTGTATGATACAGTTATCATCACTTTGGACTTTCATGCCAAACATGGAGCTTGGTAGCCTCCCGACCCAAACTCGATTATAATTATTCGGAATGAATATTGCTGGAAATGTCACGATGGCTGACCCCTTTAAGGCAAGACGCGCTGTGTGTTATCTGCGAAGCTGCATCCCCTCCTCTGGAATGTGTCATCACCTGTGCCGTAAATGAAAACTACTCTGCCTCGCGAATATCATGATGATTTAATTATTAATGGCTTTCATAAGGGAGTTTCTCAAGCGTCCTATGGTTTAGAAAAACATCCCTTTGACAGGTGAATACAATGCCATGTACATCAAGGTCTGCTACATCACTAACATGGTACTTCACAGGGCTTTAACATAAACTCCAACTGTAACTAGATTGGGCATTTCGTGGTCTGGATAATGGACAAAAATGGTTTGTCTTTGATGGGCCAGAAGAAGAAGAGCTTTTCTTAAGCGCATCTCTCTCACGCCCTCCTCATCATAACGTGCACTTCATGGGTTCGGTGATCTAGTGATGCCTTAAATTGGAATCCACGCTGTCTGCAGACCTTGTCCAAACACCTACACAGGACAAATTCATCTTCATCTTCTCAGCCTAGTGAGGTGACCTGGTTCCGAACTAAACTTTAAACACTTCCACAGATGTGGGATGTGGGATAGATATTGAAATCATCATAGATGTGGGAGACTTTAACATCTAGATCTGATCCGTGGGAATTCATGTCCTGGTCGGACAAGCAATGGTGTGTTCTGCAGATTCTACTTCTTTTATCCTGCATGGTTTTGCCATGTCAAGAATGTTCACCAACAAAACTTTGTGAATATACGGGAAAAGTTTGTTCGTAGATGTTGTCTGGCATTTTGGTTAAACCTTTGCATTAATGGTGGCTCGGTGCCTTGTCTACAGCCGATGTGGGAGAATGCATCAGCATGTCCTGACACTGAGGAATGCACGCGTGCGGCATCACTTCAAAAACAATCCAAAAGACATGGTTATCAATATTTATCCTTGCCAAGTAGGTCTTTAGGGTGCCAAATTGGCCCAGGACCAGTCTACAGCTTACATGCAGTAACGTCCATCTGAATTTAGATCGTGTACATGAGGAATACCGTCTGATGCTGACCAGCAATTTGTACGTGTTCTTGTTCTTTGAAGTTTGGGGAAAACAAAAGTTGTATTTCATTGAAAGATAAGAACAAACTAATGAAAAAGTGCGTCCGCTTGTTTGATTCGAGAACAAAGACTAGATAGTAGCTGTTGGGGTAGTAAATTTGTCGGCGTGTATTGAACCGTTGATGATGTGTGCTGACTTTGCTATCTCCTTTTTCCCTGGAGTATTCTCCTCTCACACCGGTGCGAATCTACCCCGAGGCTGTCCTTTATCAGGCCGGAACAGACATGCCCTTTTGGTTCGGCAAGACCCGTATAATGGAGACGTCCCTCTACAGCATCATAAAGAGATTTAAGACATTCAGAACAAAGACTGGATGCACGTCCAGAGTCCGTTGGATTCAGACAGTCTAAAGCGTAACTGTCTGTGATCCACTACACCGATTTCAGGCAGACACGTCTCGATTTCGCCGACTTGTACAATATCATGAAGAGCTTTAAGGATGAACAGCTCAGACCTGCTATACATGTACGTTCATCATTATCTAAAGCGTAACTATCTGTGACCCACTGCACCGATTTTCTATCGAGATACATTGCTTGCACTCATGGGACGCAAAGCTGGTGCGTTGCCATGTCTTGCCTTGGAGTTGTGCCAGGCAAAAGGACGGAATTCTGCTCTCTTTTAAAGCCGGGGAAACTATCAAAGAACGCCTGGGGATTTGTCTGTGCTTAATGCTCTATGCATCACAATTTTCGTCTCGACAAGAAATCCGTTTTACACGATATGCTCTAAACTTCAAAGGCCATGAGCTGCCATGACTGTCTTACAACTTTATTATATGGCAAAATCTCCTACTTTCATCATTTCGACGATCGATGTCTTGCCTTCCGCACCTCTAGTTAACACCATTTAATCAGGTCTGACGACTGAACATGAAAGGGACATCTTCCCGCGCCAATAATAATCACAAATCATGTCACAGCAAGTACATTTATGGTAGACATCATCTTAAGCCACCAAGTGTTTTATTCTTGTATTCGGGAAGTGCAGAATGTGATACCAGCGAGGTAGCTAAAGTGTAGTATCACTACATGTACACGCAGGGCTACCACTCACTTTCACAACTTCACCAGGGGCATCGCTGGAGGGAAAGGAAATTTCCTGAGTCTGTGTTTCTTTCAGGCGGAAATCAATATCATTCATGCATTTTACTTTGTGTGTTCTTACGGGCGTCAATATAATGCTGAAGATAAGTCTCTCTAGATATTCGGGAGGATTCCTGGACTCTTTCTTGTGAACGTGGGCGGACACAGACGGTTACTCACAAGACGTGGAGGGCGACGTTTCTACCGATGTATACTGTAGATGGTAACGTACAAGCTGTCGATAGAGGTGCTAGTGTCAGCAACGTGCTCCAGTAGATTACTGTGAGTGGTTATCGGTTCCGAGTATGGAAACAGAACGAAATCGAAAGGTTATCATCCTAGAGTAAGCCCACTGTCCGGTTTTCACACGTTCTCGCTAATTTTCAGTTCTGCTTTAACGATCGAAACGTGGAACGTCGTAGCTATCTTTTGAACCAGTACTGACCTCAGTCTCCACGAAATGATCAGTTGATCTCACCACGCCAGAGGCCACACGCGCTGCTTGTGCCTAAAATAAGATTTTGTTTTTATCGATTATCCCTTATCGTTTTCCGGCCTGGCCCAATAGATCGCGAGCGTTCTACCTACAGCCACACACCTTCATACAACCGGTGGGCGGTCGTATCCACCACCTGTGGTCGGTTAACATCGATGCTAATATTGAATTACGTTTTGTCGCAACACTGAAACCGTATGTAAGTGATTAGTTGGTCAGATCTGCCCTTGCCCCTAGCCAGTCAGATCTCTTGATGGCTCTGTGCTTACGGGGCCCCGTACGGACCTAGATGCACAGCCAAGCGATACGTAAGGTATTTCCCCTTACTGGATGTAGACATTTGTAGTCACCATTAATAGGAAATTCAGGTCTTTATATAACAATATGTAGGCCCCAGTCATAATCGCTTGGATGTTAATGGTAATACCACATGTTGAGCCCAATAAGAGCATCGTTCATAGCAAAACGGGTTACAGTTGAGGGAGCTTGCGGTTTAAGAAACGTATGTACTGATGATGAGGCGATAACAGGTGTGTGTGGAGAAAAACTAGAAATCAGGCACGCCGTGGCATTAAGGACACAAGTGATAGCGTTTTGAGCTACACAGTTTATGACAACAATCCTAATCAAATTTGGGATGACCCCAGCGACCACAACAGTCAAACGCAATGTTCAATTATACTCACCGATGATTTGGTCATATCAAGATTACACACACGTAATCCAGTACGTGTGTACCACATCTCTGAGACGTGATTTCAGTGAATGGCTAATGAGGATTTTAAAAGATGTAAAAAGTCTCACCGCAGTTTTTGCCGTGGCACTCGTACCGGTGCGTCCAGTTGAAGTTGCTGGGCAGTTCTTTGATCTGCTCATGGTCATGGCCGTTCCTGTCGTCGTCTGATGTCTCTCCTCCCCCTGCTGCCGTCAGCTCGGAGACGAACAACAGAGCCAACCCCCTCCAAACCAACAGCACCTTCCACCCCGCCATCTTGCACCAACAGGAACTTCAACTGCACTGTGGATTGCGGCCACGTACGGGAAACTATTTGAAATTACCAGAAACGGCACCTTCGTGCATCAGTCACTGCAGCAGCATCATTGTCAGGTGGGCAACTATGCTCATCTCGGTTGTGCGTTAGCAGAAGACGTCTCAGTGTTTATATGGGTTGCTGAGCCTCCCTGGTGTTGAGACAGGCGGTCAGGTGGCTAAAGGCGAGGCCATTATGTCCACTGGGAGGGAATGGGACTCCTGAACCGGGGCTGCCATGCATCCGTGGGCACAATTATTTATGGCCAACCAGAGGGACTTGGCGGGCAGCCTGCGATACCGGAGAAGCCGGGGCAATCCAACAGGCGCGCTGCAATTAATCGGCGACGTTACATTGACTGATGGTATCGCCGTCCCCGCCTCCGTAACGGAACAAGTCTGGCCGGCAATCGCCGGGGTAACTGAATATTCAAGTAAGGTTTAACATTTTCCTGATCATATACACATTGGATTTCCTTTTTTTTCTTTCTATGAAGTCACGAAAGCCTAAACTAATAGTGGACAAGCAAAGAACTCAATCAATAATTTACGAAATGTTTTTTTATTGTTTTGGTTGTCATCACAGTAAAAGTTGTTGAAACAATTGTATCTTGTCAAATGACGTGCTGGTATGGCTACTTCTACCATCATGTCACTTTTCTGTGATCAAAGAAAAATGCAGAATTTTTATCACAAGTGTCACTTTCGTTGAGAGGATTTGTAGAAAAAAAAATTAATAAATGTCTCAATTAAAAGAAAACATCTGATTTATACTTGACCCACTTTGCTGACATATTTCTGGCAGTATGTCAAGGCAGATTTATGTTTGTTACATAACTTAGATATTGGATATTCGTGACAGAAGACAGATACTCAATCGTTGTTACCTTATGCTAGCTGTCATCACTCACATTCTAAACCCTTGGGCTTGGACCTGGTGCAGATAGAGTGCTTTGCATTCGCGGGTTGAAACGCGGACCCGCTAATATCAAAAGCTTTTCTTTAAATTACATATTGCGTTCTCTGCTTATTATTAACACTCAGCAATTATGACAAAGAGTCTGAAAGAGTCTAATGGTAGATTATCTGAACACACACCACTTCCAGTATAATAGTCATCCTGCTGTAGTGCTTTCACAACTGTTTCTCCAAAGGCTATGAAAACTCCATTCTATACACAGAATGGTGTGGGAAGGGTTTTAAGTGAAGAATATTCAACCTGAACTTCCAACGTTTCCAGCTGAAATACGATCGAAGTTAGTAACGGACTTGTCTTATCGTAAACGCGACAGGTGTGTCCTTCTCACCTGAGTTCCTCCGGGGAGGAAGTGCGAATTACGGTATCGGATGCACGATTCATCGTCCATGCGTCATTGTCAGCAACTGTAGACTCTGTAGATACATCATTGTCTGCAGCTGTAGATATATCTTTGTCGGCAACTGTAGGTGTCAGAGATACATCATGTAAGGGTATAGATGTGTAGCATACAGACTATAGAGCACAATGGATATTCCCAGTTGACTTTAATTTGACTGAGTAGAACGGTAGACGAACTTTGGGGCGGAGCTGGGTCGGTTTGATTGCTATTTGCCTAACTTCCGTCAATATTAATGGTTTGATGCTATTGGCATTCGTCTGAGAATGTTTCACGGCCAATCTATCAAACTTGCGGAGATTTTCTGCCTGAAATTGTACCCTAATCCCTGCTACTGTTACGGCTGGGTTATCCTCTGTACCGCAATAGTCTGTAAATGCTACCGATTCATCAGGCAACGCAGCTGTATCTCTGACATATTTCAATGCATTGATTTTGTATCAAAAAGTAATATTACGTTTTGTATGTTTATATGCTGCATTAAGAATTAGTGTGACTAATGTACGAACTGAGTAACATTTACCCAACTAATGTGTCGAGTGGTTTATCTACTAGTGCTATATCCAGCTGTGTGTTTCGGGTATTTCACGTATGTCGTGTTTAAATCCGCTGAACACGATCACCGTAGGGAGAACTTATTCTCGTTTTTTTTTTATTTTATATATTTCCAAACATGTTATCACAAGACGTGGTGAGAACACACTCAAGTTTTTCAACTTATATTAATGCCGACACCAACACAGGGGACAATACAATACTCATTTCCACCTGAGCGAAGTGAGGAAAGTCCTGCTAAGTGCCTTTCCCAAGGGCACAAGATCGGTAGCATGTCAGGACTCGAACCCGGGACCTCTTGGTTCCGAGTCGAGTACTCTGCCGTTACGCCATGCGACCCTAGGGCGGTTACTATCGGTTGTCTCCTTCAACGTGAATATTACACTAATCTACTTACTTTTGTGTGGTACTAGACCCCCCCCCCTGCCGGGCATAACGTCTAGGGGCCCTATATAGTGCGACCGGTGATGGCAGTGAAGCATAAGCCCAGCAAACAAAATAGAGTGCTGCATCAAAACATTAAAAAAAAAGATAAAGTGAGTGGAGTAATGTTGTACATATTTGTCACACTAGGGGTCGGAAATGTGACGATACTTCAGTTGATAATGTTCTCAGAGGCTATTCTCAGTACTATCTCGTTGCCTGCAATGCGCCATATGGCTTTAATGGAAAGAGGATGTGCTTTTTCTTCCCGTAATGTATCGACCTGCTACAGATATGTCTCTAACACATGTGGCCAAACGGCCCTTCTCACCGCTGCCGCATCCTTTACTTGTCATTTTCCTGATTGGGCGGAAGTCGTGACATCAAATATGGCCCCGGCACATACATTGTACGATGGTTCTTTTTTTCCTTTCCGAGCCTTGACCGGATAATGTCGCCATTTTTTAAAACTTCCAACATGTTATGGCTAGACAAGGTGACGGCACACTCAAGTTATGTCAACTTATTTTATGCCGTCACCAACGCAGATAGAGGACAAATACGGAACAGGGCAATACTCATTTTCATCTGAGTTAAGGTCGTGTAAAGTGCCGTTCCCAAGGGCACAAGATCGGTGGCATGTCATGACTCGAACCCGGGACCTCTTGGTTTCGAGTCGAGCACTCTACCGCTACGCCACACGACCCCACAAATGTCGCCATTTGTGAACGGACAGACTGTCCCTAGCTACGGCTCAAGCCATGGGTTTGATGATGATGCCGTCGTAGGTACTCTCCAAGCAGAGGTTTGGGTTTTGGGGGTATTTTTATTTTCCCACCAAACCCAACCTCTGCCGGCACTCACCTCGGGGAGGGGCAAACCTATTCAAAACAGGGTTGGGTTTGGTGGGAAAAAAAATTCAGTGCAAAAGAGAAACCCCGATAAAAAAGCCTAAAAACACACTAAAAATACATGTACCCCCAAAACCCAAACCTCTGCTTGGAGAGTAGTCGTAGGTACATGTATGAGAAGAAACGCGTGCAATATTTCAATTTTGTGCCAGTTTCTCAGTCTCATATCTACGACATTAGGCACGATCGTCGAGAAAAAACCATTGTATACAGCCTAGAATCGTGCTATATCCATAACCATGCTCATGCAAGGTTCTTTTGGAAATGCTCTCAGATAGTTCAAGCGTATCCAGAAGCGTGCCTGGGGCAAATGTACGTTCATGGATACCAGGAGACTATCCAGAACCGTGTCTGATCCTAATCCTAACCCACTCAGACATAAAACTACTAGATAGGCACGGTTCTGGATACGATAACCCTCCATCGTAGATGCATTGTACGATCTATGTCACTGGGGCTTAAAAGTAAGAACGCTGCTGATCGACCCTCTGTTATACACGGTCGTCATCACCAAACTGTCTGTCATTATCGTTAATCTATGGGACATCATGATGAATGAAGAAGGTCTGTGTGTGTAAGGGCGGTTCAACCCCACAACTAAATGGGTCTCTTTCTAAAGATCGATGTAGATTCATTGATTCTGTCCTTGAGTCCATCTATTAGTAACTGGTCGCCAACTGACTGGTGTTGCCGCATGGGACGTCAAAGTTAGCAAAGTAGGCCATGTGGAGGCATCAGGAAATATGCAGTCTGTTGTCTACTAGATATAGGCTGACTTACATCTAAACCTTGGTGACCTTACTGTAAAGCAAATGTTTGTTATCTTCTAATGAGAACAATTAATCACCAAAACAGTGAACGCGCACCTCAGTATCCAATTAAATCTGGCGCCCAAAGCTTTGCCTACGTCACCGCGGTGTCTTCTTAAGTTCTGTATCTGCATTCTGTATCTGTATAGCCGGCAAACCTTTCGGCGTAACACACCAGCTTCGCAGGCACGCGGCGCGGCGGCAGCTGGCTACGTTACACCGATCGACTTGGTACACCTAACCCTTGAACATCTAGCTGTAGACTTTGTTTAAAGCTATCTAATTATAATGCCCCTACTGTACTTGGTGACAGTGAGTTCCACTGCACTCTGCTATAGTTCTAGAAAAGAATGAATTTTTGAACACCTCAATGGTTGATAACTCTGGTACTTGAAGGCATAATGCTATTTCTTGTTCTCTTCTGGGCTGGTATTAGGTACTTAGTAGTTGGGACTTCCACCAAGTTAAAGACGAATGCGCTTTCAGACAAATGATAAATGGTGTCTAAAATTAAAAAGATCACCTCCATGTCGGGACAGTGTTCTGGGAACGAGAGCACAGTTCTGCATTGGTCACGTGATCATGGAACTCTATCGTCTGCGAACTTCGGAGGTCGCGCTTCGAACGCGATGATATGGTGACATTTTCGTCATTATTTTCACAATGGAGCAAGAAGGCTAATCTTCACCTGTCAGATTATTAAGGTAAGTTGTCTTGGAATAGATTTGGGACGTTTCTATATTTGATCCAGTGCGCGGAGTAAAAACATTTGGCCTGAGACGAACAGTGACATCACCCCTCCCTCACAGTTGTTCGAATTCACCAAACTATGACAAGAAAAGTTAAACTCTTGCAAAATGCATTGTGTGTACTAGCCAGAGAAAAGAAACACCAACAGGGTGAATTAGTGGGACCCTTGGTTGTTTGTAGATCTTTGTATAATGGATTGAAAACCGAACGCTCTGCCATCAGCTGCAAATAAGCCGCTGTGGTGGGGAGGGCGAAGGGGGGGGGGCGTAAACTTTGACGTACTTAAGTATAGTCTGGTATTAGCAGTGGCAAATGGTACAGGGCTTTTCTTACTTGCTATCTTGCTAGACAAGTGTAGTGTAGTAACTGTTGGATTTCATTTTGATTTTCAGCTCGCACTACTATAGCGTACAGAGCAGAAAGATGGAAGCCAGTGGTCATACCAAACTGCACAGCCTTGACGAAGTCCATCTAAACGTAGGTGGACAGTGGTATTGCGCGAACAAGAACCTACTGGTACGTTACACAGAGTCAAAACTGTACCAGGCCGTATCCCTGTATGGTTCAGACACTAACGTGTTGTTTGTTGAAGGGGATGGAAGGATGTTTCAGCATGTGTTGAACTTCATAACAACTGGGGAGTTAGTGCTACCCCCAGGTTTCAATGAACATGAGCTGCTTATACACGAAGCTAGAGAAACATATGGGATCAGGGCCCTTGTTGAGAAGCTGGAGAGAGTTAGAAAGAATGACTCTGAAGAACACTTCAATGACAAAGGCCTTAGGATAGGTCATGCCAGGTACAGGAGTTTGGAGATGAATACAGGCAGACCCTTCCTCACAAACATTGCTGTCTTGCAAAAGTACCCTCTGCTCTTGCAGAATTCAAGTCTGGCCTGGCTTACAGAAAATGGCTTTGCTTTCATCCATTGCGACAATGACAACTTCAGGCACATCTTGAACTCCTGTCACCATGGCGTTTGCCTGGTTCCACAATACCTTTCAGAAGCTGGTAGAATCATGGATGAGTTGAAGAAATATGGGATCACTGACAAAGAAAGAGGTTACTTCTCCAATGATGATAATTCACAGAGTAACCAAAAGAAACCTGCAAATGACATTGAACAGCAATGTTGCCCTCCCATATACATCATGGCTATAGAGATATTACAGAGAGTCTCATCCACACACAATCTTGGAAGGCTGGAAATTTCACTCACAAGGGATGGAAAGGGCCTTGTTGTCCACGGATCTGGAAACTTGTTTGCACAGGCAAGTCAGTGTTTGGGAGTGAGTAGGCTCCTTCTCCTTGATGATATCTCTGACTTTCATGACATGTACAAGGCAGTGAAGGTATCCAACATCCCTGCACTTGTTTCTGCTGTAGAAGACTTTCAAAGGTCACCTCCCTTCCTTCAACCAGCTAAAAGTCACTGTCCTTTCTCATGTCCACCAAGAAAGGCTGATCTGCAGCCATTACATAGCAATGAGGACACCGCCAACCATTCTTCCTTTGGTTCTGAAGTAGTTACGGTTTATGTTGGAAACCAGACGTACGAAGCCAGCAGGCACGTGCTTACTGAAGCTGCCAGGCATTCTCGGATCCCTAAATGTGTGGATGGGATGCTTTACATCACAGGTGACGCTGAGATGTTCCGTCACATCCTAAACTTCTTCAGAACAGGAAAACTCATGCTACCTCCGGACTTTGCTGAGTATGAGTTACTACTGTGTGAGGCAAACCACCTGGGAGTTTCATGCATAGTTTCTATGCTGGATCAACCAAGAATGGTGCTGAAGAAAGCATATGGTAAAGAGGTAAAGGAAGCTGCTGAAGTGAAGAAACAGAAAAGGACCAAGAAGAAAAGGCAACTTTGCAGCTGCCCAGAGTGTTTTCCCACTTCAAGTGAGAAAGCCCCCAGCAGAGAAAACCTGTCATCACTAGCCAGCATAGAATCTGAGGCAGTGCTAGACCAGCAGGAGATTGTATCAGGTATTGATGCACATGGTACACAAGGCAGTGCTGTGAGTTATGATGCACACAGAAGCAGAAACATCCCTGAACATTCAGTCTTCATCAAGATGGCTAAGACTGGGGCAAGTGTGACTCGTTCAGATAAGGACAACAGTTACTGCAGTCATCAGCATAAATGGGGAGTTTACCAGGGCAGAGCCTCAGTGTGCCAGGTTGGCCCAGATGGCAGACTACAGATAGAGTTGATATTATCCAGGCCTGACAATGATCAGCAGCCCATTAACCGCCTCCAAGAAAAGAGCTCCGATAAGAGTGACTTTACCAAACAAAGTGGAAACCCAAAGACTTTGATGGAGTTCAGTGAACGCTGCCTGTCATCAGCATCACAAAGGCTGATGCAGATGTCCAAGACAGTATTGGAGATCCAGACTTTGACAAAGACGGACATTTCAATAGCCAAGAAGCAGTTTCCCGTAGATAGCATCATAAATCCCAGCAACAGTTCGAATGCTGTTTCATCTCTCCCGGATCCAGCACAGAGTGAAAGCAAAGTTGCGATCAATACCGATCACTCATACTCACATCCTCCAAGCAAGGACAGCAAGTCAGTCACAAACAAACTGCCTAGTTCCAAAGGAGAAATGAAACCACCAAAGTCTAAACCCAAACTGGTTGCATTGTCAGATGCAGAAGTTGAGGCCCATTGCCATAAATCAGAGTCATCAACTGGTTACAATTTGCAAGGGCAAGATAGATGTGAGAGGACTGAAGACTTTGGGTACATTGCTGTCATCAGACATCCACATGTTCACGGGCAACAGGAGGACAAGGGCTCCCCATACAAACCATTTACCACAAGTAGGCTGTACATTGGTGCACAGGAACCTACCACAGGGAACGATGTAGCAGCATTGTCACTCTTGAACCACACTCAACAACTGTGTGCAGACAGACTACAGAGAAATCATTGTGAGGGGGATACATCTACCAAAGGAAAAGCCTACCCAGCAGGCAGATTGACAGAGGATTCTGAAGATGGCATGTTGGATGTTGAAGAAAACAGGCAAACAGTTGCATACTCTGGCACTACAGTAAAGCCAATGTATCATGCTGTAGGTGAAACAAAATCAGCAATGGCATGTCACACTGTCACTGAAGAGCATTTGGTCATGGAGAACAAAGACAGTTGCAGTGACCTGAATAATGAAGCTGAAAAGACTATTAAAAGCCCAGATGCAAGCATTGCATCTACTCCAAAAGGGAGCATCCACCTGAGAAACCTCACAAAGCTTTGCAGCCAGGTTTCCTGGTTACACAGTGTTCCACAACAACCAGACATCACCACACAGGATGCACTTGCAGATGGTTGCAAAGAGAAAACAGCCTCAGACTGTTTGGATGTTTCAGAAGTGTATGCCATGAAAGAAAACGCTGATCCAAATACTGAACCTACAGAGCAAGAGCACTGCAGCAAGGATGCCACACATGCTGACTTATCAAAGGCTCCAGCTGTTGCTAGTGGGTACACTCCAGTTAGAGTGACTAGCAGTCCCATAGAGAGGCAGTCAACTGAGTTGCCACTGGCATCAACACCTGTTGAGGAGGGAAGCTCCCAGCAGAGGTGCATTCTGCTACCACTAGCTGCAAAGGATGTGGTGTATGCCAGAATGTGCCACAGGTATGTGTAAGTGTCTTCTTTGGAAAGAAAATAGTTATAGCAATATGTTCTAGTCATAACTAGTCTAAAGTGTGTATGCATTCTTTTATTTACATACATTGCTGCATGAATCTGAATGCTACCTGTAGCTTTAGGAGATTTGATTTATACATTGATTGAATCTCCATTATCATTGAACTTCAATTATGGCAGAGTCTGCTTTCCTAATATTTACACTGCCTGTTTACTACTTCTGCTTATTACTTCTGATTCTTTTAGCAGTCAATTGTTCTCAGTAAGTGTTGGCATAATGCACCACTCCTTCCTCTGGGAAATTAAAACTATTACATGCCACTCAACAGAGCAATACAATTTCATTACAAAGTGATAAAGTTATATGAAGGCTTTGATGAAGATAAAAGGCTTTAGGGCTAATGCTAACAAAGTCCCAGTGCATGTTCCAGGTTCCTCCTCGGAGTCATTGAGGATTCCAAGAAGCTTGGAGATGTGCCAGACCTTACAGCAGAGGTAGCCAGACTTGTTCACAGACTTTGGGTGAGTGTGCAATTAATGAAAATCGACTTTTTATTGTTTTATGATAGCCAGACTTGTCTACCGACTTTGGGTGAGTGTGCAGTTAATGAAATGGGGATTGAAGAAAGTAATGCATACAGCCTGACAATTGAAATGGACTTTTTATGATAGCCAGACTTGTCTACCGACTTTGGGTGAGTGTGCAATTAATCAAATGGGGATTAAAGAAAGTAATGCACACTGTGACAGCTGCAATGGGTGGGATGTTTTATGATGTTTTTTACGATGCAAAACATTGTGTGCTGTTAGTAGTGAATAATAACTTGCATAGGTGTCAAACCATATTATATATAATTATTGTCCTGAATAGCAAAGTTCTATATTCACATCCACTGGTTTAACAAGAGCCCAAGTTTTGATGAATGTCATCTTCATTGAAGGCAATTATGACTGATTCACTGTGCACTGAAGTTAATTGTTTTAACTGCTAACAATGCAGTCCCACATGTTAAGTAATTGTGACATTCATTATAAGACACTGTTACAACAAGAGTGAGATATGCGGTTCCAAATGTATTACTAAATACAACTTATATTGTTAACCAACAATACTGAGTACGTTGTAATCCCATCCTCCAACAATTGCCACAGAATGCCGATATATCACCTTCCACCTTCGTGGGCTGCCTGTCTCATCTGGGGCCGTTCAACTCCCACACCTGTGAGCACCTTACTCCCTGGATCACGGTAAGGACAGCCAGGTAGTCTGAACCTCATCTGTCAGTGACAACCTGGGCCCTCCCGGGACCTGCACTGGCAGGTGGAAACTCAATTGATTGTCCAAGGGGGATTTGCAAACACGTGAGACTCGTGACCCTACAGGAATGCATGTAGTGACAGGTCGCGCTTACTCTATTTTCAGAGGGACTTGCACTTAGTTCTTCTGTTAGGCTTTGATATTTGATATGACAGCTTTTTTATTGTTTCACCTGCATCCTTTTCAAATCCCTTTGTCATTGAGCACATTTAGGTCTACTGGTATAATATACATTGTATGTGTGAATTGTATATCCAACAGGCACACAACCTTTTTCTTCCCAAAAACTTTCTGGGTTACTAGTCAAATTTTATTCCATGTTGAATAGACAGTACTTTTTTTTATTATTATTTTAATTAGTATATACAGCATTAGCAGCTGGACTGAAGATGGCACTGAGGAAATAAATCATGAACTTCTATGAACTTATTGCCTCTGAAAGTTTGTTACATAGTCCTACGGTAGTTGGTAGGTAGGTTATGCTACATGTATGTGTGAGAGTCAGAGATCACCAGACTGTTGTTGTGCTAGGATTTTGACTCAAGTGTCACCTGCCACACGTCTTTGTCTTTAGGAATGAGGCCATTAAGCTGCAGGGCTGGTGCCTCTCTAAAGTACATGTACAATGAAGAAAACTTGAATGTACATACTTCAGGCATGCATAGCTCTGTACCAATTATTACTAGCTCCCAACTGACAAGTAACTCCACAGTAAGAAAGATTGAGTATCCATTTGCTTGTACCCTGAGGACTGCCATAATGACTAGCCTTTGTGCTGTACTGATATTTGTCTGTATTAAGGTTACTGTGTTTAGGTCTTGAAGTGGCATAAATAATAGCCATATGTTCAGAGAATACGGGCTGAAGGGTATTAGAGTAAGCAAAGTACCAAATTGATGGTGAACATTTACAGATTTCAATGCAATGTTTATGCTCTCCCTCAAGAAGTTTTACTTTCTATTATAACTTACAGAACCTGATCTCAAAAATTATGTACTATTCTTAGTGAGATAGGATTTGACAGTTATACTTTTACTGTTATCTAAATGCATTCTTGTCCTGTATTATCTTTTGGTCATCTATATCATTCTTCATTGAGGCCACACCAATTTAATTTGTTGGTTCTCGGATTTTTTCAGAAAAAATATGAAGCGACAGGGCGAAAAAAATAAAAATAAAAACAGGTCTAGGCATCCTATTATAGCCCCAAATGCTACAATATGAGCCATGAAGTCAACAAAAAAGGCTGGGTTAAAATTTAAAGTACAAATTTTGAACTTTTAATCAAACCACTGCCTTGATAGATGGAAAAAACTGTAACAACTTGGAAGAAAAGGAATTTCCTCAACTGTTGGGGGCAAAATATGAGCATTTTTGAGTTGATTCAGAAGCAGAATTCTTTTTTTTTTTTGCAAATCAGAAAAAATGGCCTGATTGTGCTATTATAATTCTTATCTTGCTATCTGTTGAATTTAAAGTTTGAAGGAGGAGGAGGGCTTTGTATAATGCCTTGTAGGCTCCCTCCCTCATCTGCCAAATGAATACAATTTGTTTTTTCCTTCTATACAGTTACAGGTACATTTCGTTACAAAATCTGTGTACGTACATACATACATGCACGTATCTTGGCTTTGATTATACTGCTGCTGGCTTCCCTGTCTCAGGGGTGGGCAGCAGTTGGCTAGACTGGACTCCATGTCTCCATATGGCCCTGTCCTGTGGATCAATGTTGAATAGTCCACACACAGTGTACCAGTATATCTTGTGCAAATAAATTAAACAAATTATGGTACTTTGTTTCCTCCCTCCAGAGAAGCCTGTCCCCAGCGAGATGGTATGCCCTCAGTATGCTAGAACTTGTGGAGAAGCATCCCTCAGCCTGCTCCCTCACCACCAGCAGAGTTGCAGACATCCTGTGAGCAAACTAATGCAATGATCATACTCTAGCCAGGGCTCAAAATACTGTTACGGTAACATTGAATATTTCCTGCACCAGAAAGATTTACCTTTTGTTGGTGTTTCTATTGACTTCTGTTTTTTCATGAAACTTGGTACATGTAGTTATACGCAATTATTGACATTACAAACAATGTTATACCTGCTACTTGCAGTACAATTAGTTTGCAAGCTTTCTTGGTTTGTTCATTCTTAATTAAATAAATATATATATATATCAATATCAATTAGCTGCCCAATACACTACAATCCTTTGTCTTCACAGGTACTCATCACTTAAGGTTGTGGGATAACCTTGAAGTCTTTGCCCTGACTGCAATTTTGCAATTATAAAAAATTCATGTTGCTTTAAATGTGTTTTATAGTCTATAGAAGACCTTTAACTCTTGAAGAGTTACGGTGGTTATGTAATAAATGATTGAAAGAGTCAATTATGCGCTCTACATACTCTAAATAGTTTTGGAATTCACTGGACATAAATCGCAGTGTTTGATTGTACACAATAATGTTAGCTTATTGAGCCAATGCAGTTTCGGTACAACTGCAATGTCTTTGTTTGTAATTTCTGTGGGTTCTGCAAAAGTTAAGTAAACTTTAAGGTATTAAATCGTTTAAAGTAAGATCTATCTTTTCAGTAAGATTTGCAAGTTCATAACAATGATTTGATTCAATATATCTCGTAGGTAATAATCTCAAGAAGCATCTAAAACATTTTCAAGATACCCATCCAAATGGTATGGCATGCATTGTTTGGGCATCTTGCTTGTGCCAAATTTGCCTACAATGTATATCTAAACCTCTGGACAAGTCCTTGAGAGATGTTTCACTAAAATTGAAGATTGAACCCAACTGATTTAAACCACTGCAGTAAGTAAGTCTGCAATGGGCTGCTTGGGGAAAGACACTCCCCAAGCTCATTCAAATTCATTGAATTATAGATACTTAAGCTATAGAAACTACGGCACACACAGGCCTTGGATGCTCTTTTTACTGGAGTGACCTTGACAAATCAAGTTTTAGTTTAGCGAGGAGTAAAGATTTACATCCCTGAATCCTCTTGAGAGCTTTCTGTTATGGACAAGCCTGCAAAGGAAAATGGTAGGGAAGATATTTAAAGATACATTCAGGACAGTTTGGTTGGGACCCAATGGAGTGCTTAGGTTTACTAGGTCCATGATACATAATGGAGCATTGCTAGATTGCCAGCTTCCAAGAATAAGTGAGCTTACAGCTAAATAGGCTCTGAGGAACACAGTGACAGAGATAAAGACGTGAGAAATTGAAGTTTTATCTAAGGGGCAAATGTCACCCTTCATTTCAGCTCACTATTGTAACTGTGTTGTTAGAAGGTATTGTTATACAGCTTTGTAGCATTGCCTATTGAAGTCTGCACCATCTGGAACCTTGATGATCTTATAACGTATGAAACTGAATGTATGCAACTGGAGTGCTTCATTGGTATCTGTATTTGTATAGCTGGTATAACTGCCTTTCGGCGTAACACACCAGCGGCAGCTGGCTACATTACATTGATCGATTTGGTGCACCTAGCCCTTTATCTAATGACAATGCCCCTACTGTACTTGGTGACAGGGAGTTCCACTCTGCGATAGTTCTAGGAAAGAATGAATTGGTACAAGGTGAAGGTCCCATAGCATTCTGGAAGCCATAGGTGGCTTTGGGTTGTTCATATACTGTGTTGCAGGTGTGGTATTGGAAGGTGGATCCGATCTCCTTTTCTTCCACCACTACTTCTACAAAGTAAGATCAATCAATCAACCGCAGGCATCAGTGGAGATGCATAGTGGCTGTAGACATGTCTCTCCAAGATGTTGTGTTTTCTACCAGATCACTCCAGTCAGTTCTGCTGACCCCTAGAGTGTCCAGTGCGTTGAAAACTTTGTCCTCCCATCTGCTCCTGGGGTGGCCTCTAGGGCGCCTCCAAGTTGGGTCTGGAGCTGAGGTAACCAGTTTGAAGATAAGTACCCATTTACACCTGGATGGCAGTGGGTTGTTCATCCACGTGTTAAGGGCACATTATTAGAAGGTGGAGCCCATCCCTCTCCTTTCACCACTACCTCCTGAACCAAAACTAGATAGAAGTTACTGTACTAGTACTACCTACATTGCATTTACACCTGGGTGGTATGAGGAAAGTGCCTTTCCCAAGGATACAACACCAAGCCGGGGATCAAACCCATGACCCCTCGATCCCTTTTCTGCTAGCCTAACCACTCAGCTATCCACACAGCTATCACCAACCTGAAACCCATCCCCGCAAAACCCAATTGCAACTGCCATCAGAATGTAATCCTACCATCATCATCTCGCCAAATTCCAATAAAGCTATTTCTAACGACCATCCCTAGTCACTTTGACAATAAACCGTTTTCTGCGGGGACATTTTCGAGCCTTATTGCACAGAAAAATGGCGCGCCATTACTGGAGCAATGCCACAAATGACCTACATTTCGGGTGCGCCGGGAATACTGCATTTATTTGAAATGACACACGCCCGTGGCACTTGGCATATCATCCATAAAATCTGTTGCAACGTGGGACTCTGAAATTACCTGCGAGTATTCTAGAAAGTTCATAGCTGAAAGGCAGGCATAGCAAAAGGCATATGGTAACAACCTACTGGCCTACCGATAGAAATAATGCCTATTTCTCAACCATTTAGCAAAATGATGTATGCTAGGCATTGAGGTCCACAATTTTGAACTTTATCCCTCCTTATGGCACTGCTTCTACCTATGATGGCTCTCTGGAGATTGCTGAATTACAATATAGTAGTGGGAAGACAATCCTCCCCTTGTGTCGTTAAACTGTGTCAGAGATGGCAATCCTGAAATACTAGCATCTCACTAAATCCTCTGACTTGGCCATGTCAACGGTAGTCCATTTCTGCCGATGCTATAGCTATAGACAAAGCTCTGCTTAGTGGTACTAGGGCTTGATCCCATTAAGAAGTGGGGTAGCAATATCATAATGCCTGCTATATTTTGTGTGAAGTTGCGGTAAATCGTCACCTAAAGTATTATGACTTACTGAACTTCACTTTGCAGTCACCATGGTCTAACAATGTGCACAAGGTTGTCTTTGGCAGTCTTAGAAGACAAACATACAAAGAGCAAAATGTTGAATGCGTAACAGTGCAATGGATTCCCACAAAAAGAACATACAAGAATTCAAAGTATATAGTATATTTCATTATTCATCAAATGCAGATGACGTTAAGATCAAGGAAATGAAAAGGAATGCTCTACTACATCATTGCTAGTAATTAAAATTTGCAAAGACTGGAGAAAAGCAATTTGTTTTTAGTTGCTATTCGTTCAAATACAGCAATTTATTAATTTTCATATCTGAGAAGTGGTGTGGTAAAGGTGATGATACAAAATTTAAGAAGTCAACTACATTATTAAGAAATTATTTGTATTTTATCCTTAACAGCTATAACAATTCTCTTTATCAAAGAAGTGCATTTTGGAAATATGTTGGAATGTTGACTTACCAAAGTACATTATATATACTGATTACACAAAAAGGATAGAACCATAACAATTGTTACTGACTTTGCATTTCTAAATTAAATAGCACCATACAAAATTGCAATTGCACAGGTAGATATTAGCATCACAAACATTAATCAATACAATCATACTTGACATATTGTACTGAATCAAACTGAAACAACCTTGGCTTGACTTTGCAAAATTCAGACTCTCCACAAGATGGAGCTTTTAAGCCCATTGTCCCATAACTGTAGCTGTATGAGGCAGTTCCAAGGTACATTCTTGAAGTTGAAGGTAAGACATCAAAGTAAACATTACTAAACAACAATTCACACTCCACTAATAATGGACATTACAATAGAAGTAAATCTCTGTATTTTATCAAGTAGTGGCATTTTAATTGTCTATGGATAAGGTCCAACGTCTTTGGCTTGCGTGAATATACCTCATACACATCAAGAATGAAAGTAAGCATTCATGACTTCAAGCTTGTCAATGATTTTCTCTTTGGAAGGGCTAAAATACCATTAGTGATAAAACTGATAATGCAATACATGAATATAAATCAATGAGTTAAGGCACAAATGAGATGACTTCAATTGATTGCAAAATGATGTGACTTCAATTACAGAATCTCAGCCAGATAGATGTATGATAAAAACTGTTCACAATGCTAAAAGGAATAAGGCTTCTGTGTAATGTCCCACACAATGTGTATCTGTATCTGTATAGCCGGTATAACCACCTTTTGGCGTAACACACCAGCTTCGCAGGAACAATGCGATGTTACCCTACAGCCTTATGTAGTAGCAAACAGGTACAGGAGACCTTTTGCAAAAGAGATGACCTCGTTTCCTCCCAGTTTGGACTCTCCGTACACCCTGTCCACAAATGTGATGGGGACCTGCAAAATAACCATCACCTGTAAATGCCAAGTCATTCCTATACCTGTATATAAAGCACAGGGCTTGAAATTCATTTATGGGAATAGGTGCACTGGTGCACCGTGCACCCAACCTAAAAAATTGGGTGCTCAATATTCCTTTGGGGTGCACCATACAATGTATAAGATAAACAGAATGTCAGCAAATCCTAATAATTATTATTTTTGATTTTTAAAGAAAAGCACTATAACAATGATTTTGTTACTTTTCTGAGACGTGGATGTTATTAACTTTACAATACGCTGTATACTAATATACATTTAACATCATTATCTTCACATACAGACTCCCTGTAATCCTACAAAAACATTTGGGTGCACTTGTGCACCCACAGAAAAAGGTTGGGTTCACAGTTCCAAATTTGGGTGCACTAAGGTGCACATGCACCCAGTATTTTGAGCCTTGAAGCATCATTGGCTATTTTCTTACAATGGACCTTGGCTTTCGAGTTTAAATAAAGGCTTACTACTACTACTTACTACTGAAAAACCGCTCAAACGAAATCCAGAAATAATTAGTACATCTGTCATTTCTCTGTGACATACACAGTAATACTGATATCCCTCAGTGCAGACCCATTGCAATTATACCTCCACGTAGCCTTGCAATCAATTTTGTCTGGTGCCACAAGTGTGCTTTGGGCAAACCGACTGCTCAGAAGTAGAGCCAGGGCTCGAAATACTCACTGGGTACATGTGCACCTTAGTGCACCCAAAATTGGAGTTGTGCACCTAATATTTTTGTAGGAATTTTTAACATCAGAAATGTATAATAGTATACCGGATATTCTTGGTCTCTAAGTATCAGAAAAATAATAAAATCTTTGTGGTAGTACTTGTTTAAGATTTTGAAGTTAGTTCCCATTTCAGATTCAAGATCAGAAGAGGAGCAGCAAGACCTGCAATTAGGTTTTGTTTCATATGGTGCACCCATAAGTTTTTTTGTGCACCCAATGTTTTAGGCATTTCTGTCAAAAGTAGAGCGGTCGTTGACTTGCGGGCTGAGTTACTGACTATGTGTCGATAACGCTTGCAGCGCTGTTGTGTTGTATTGATTGACACATTCTTCAGATGTATGTTTAATGGCCAGGCATTTGACATTATAAATGGATGATTACAGGAACCTAAGGGGTGTTAAAGAGAAAATACGATAACAGAGCAGGCCAATAAAACATAGTGTGGTTACCATAGAATAATAGAATATATACTGTAACAGTATTCTAGTGGTCTGCATTTTTAAGCCACAATCATAATATTATGGGATCCATATACAAAGAAAGACAACAATAAACTATGGCTTAAAAATGCAGACCACTAAAATATATGTTCTATATTTGATGGCAACCACACCATGTTTTATTGGCCTGCCTTGATATCTCAGCATTGATGCCACCTCTAGAATATGCCACGACAGTATGGGCTCCATATACAGAGACATCCATGGCATATCAGCGTGCAAAATACCTGGTTGCCCAGTTGCCCCGGGCAACCAAATTTTACTTCGGGCAACCTATTTTTGAACCTAGGTAGCCCAGTGCGCTACCTGAATTTTAAGAATGCCCCCCCCCCCAAAAAAAGTCATGCCCACTTGGCTTGCACCACTATATCCGGGCAGATGCTTTTTAATTTTAGGTATTAATGGCTATTACTAGTTGTCAAAGGCTTATGTATGTAACATTACTAAAAGGTGGGGCAACCTAAAATTCTGATGGGCAACCTAATTTTTGCGGTAATTTTTCAAAGAAGTATTTTGTACACTGCATATTTTAGGTGGCATCAATATTGAGATATCAGATTGTAGGTGACATGTAAGCCCCAGCACTAAGGCGCTAACTCTTGACCCACCTCTCCAATGGTAAAGCCTAGCTGCCTGGCGCGCACGATCATCTCCATTTGGAAGACGTAGCCTTTGGACACACAGCTCTCAACCAACTTCTCCAGCACTGCTTTCTTATAGAGCCTAACAGAGGGGGAAAGATGTATGTATTCTTAGATATACATGTGTAATTGTAAAATAATATATGTAATTACAATGTAGCTATTCAAAAGTCGAGACAGAGAGAGATTCAAAAGTACATACAGGAGAAAGGGTAGAACAAAAAGTTTACAAGTAAATTGACGAATGAGTCAGCAAATCAAAGGCATTGCATATGAATCATGTTTTGGAAATGCTGATAAATTCATTCATACCACTCGTACCATATAAAAGTTTGCATGCATGTAGTTATATAGGCATATAGCAACTATGCATACATGTAGTTTAATTGAAATTGAAATTGAAATACCTTTATTCAAACCACGACGGGCTAGGTCAAGATATAACAGACACATAACAAACGTATATAGAAAAGTGGAGACAAAAGATGCACTACTACTTAATAGGCATACAGGGAAAACCTGGGGTAACTGGAATTTTTATCAATATAGACATGAGCTTACCTGAAACTCCCTGTCAAGTCCGATGCCCCTGGCCTCAGCAGGATCTGAGTCAGATAGTTTGCACCTCGGCTACAGAGAGAGAAACTTTTCATCATTCAAAGCTCTGCCTGAATTATTACCTGAATTAGCCTGCCAGAATAACTGGCACTTGACATAACACACCAGCTTTGCAGGTACAGGAAAAGACTCCCAAGTCTGTATCCTTTCAGGTCGGAGAGCATTAGCCTGTGAAACCCAAGCTCTGGGGGGCTCCCTACATAGTCCGCCACCCAAGGGTGCCGGCTGGATGTTGGGCGGCCGGCAAAAGCGATTTAATCAGGCTATAGCTAGGAGAGCATAAAGACTTGGGAGCTGAAATAGGTCAGGTAACCAGGCTAGTGTCTACAACATGTACCCACCTGATGAGCTTCCTCTTAAGATCCCATCCATAGACCCCTCCACTTCCCCTGTACCTGGTGCCTGACACAACATCATAGTCTCTCTCCTGTTGTTTACTGGAAAACATAGACAACTGTTACATATATTCTCTTTTTTCATGTTCAGATGTTATTGTCTGAAGATGAGATAAAACCTTTACTGACAGATATTTAATTTTAAAACTTAGGTTAAAATGTTCACATTCATTCAGTCAATAGATTTGTAGAATTTATTACTAGAAACTCACCTTATGAATTCTGGAATGAACTTTGGCTGCAGAGTGAATATAAACATCAATATCTTGAGTTAGTTTATGACATGATAGCATTTTGCTAGAAGGAAAACAAATATGTAGGACATTGCTGTATCGTATCATCTGTGATTGTGTATTTCACCAGTGTACCATTACAATATTTATTGCAAGAGTCATATTGACTTGAGGAAAGTTGGTCTACATGTACTTTCTGAACCTAGCACACAAGCTGTTTATTGTCCCATTCCCCATTACATATATGTACCATGCATATGGAGGGACATACGGTGATACCATACATTGTGTTTTTTTTTTATCAACCTGTAATTCCCAACTGCCCTTTCTAACATTTAAAAAAAATGTCTTACATGGTGAGAGAGGTCAGCATCCATGATGATGACAAAGTTTCCTGTAGCGTGCTTCATGCCATGGATGTAGGCAGTTCCTGTCATCAGAAGAACAATAGGAAACCATGTGAATATGTTCATTTGAGAACATCTTCAAAGTACAGAGGTGTAGTAACAGATGTATGAATCTCATTCTCACAAACAAAACATACTCAATATCAGACTTCATATATCAATGTGTGCAGGACAACGTATGTAGGAATTGTGTATTCTAAGTTTTCTGTTTCTTTTACCAGAAAAAGACATACTTACCTAGTCCTAGCTTCTTTGCTCTTGGTCTTAGTACCTAACAAAACATTTAGGAGAAATATCAATATGATAATAATAATAAACATGATAATAAATATCAAATATTATTATCTTCATTGCAAAAAATAATTGCATGTTAACATACTACGTATTTCAAATACAAGATCATTGGAAATGTTATAAAATAATATGCCTTTGGGAATAGCCATTTGCCTACCAGTTGCTGTCAAAATATAATGAAGCAAACATTGCAACTTTGGTTCATGATATACTGTATGACTATTAGTGTATTTCAATGTAATAATAATTGTAGAACTGTACTCACAATTTTGTCCTTGCCGTAGATGTTTTCCAGCTGTTGGGCCACCTCCAGTGTACCGTCCGGGCTGCCGTCATCTATCACTATAATCTCAAAGTCATGGCCACTGGAACAGAACAACAGTTTTTATTTTCAGTTACTAGTATCTGTTTTATTTTATTGTTTGCTTGGTTGTTGATTAATAGGCCATTGAAGACGATTGAACTTAAACTACTACAGTATATATCTGTGTTATCAAGTAGTTACACAACAGCCTGGGTGCTACACTATTTGTAATCTCCAAGCAGATTCGGTGGGGCAAGGGGACTTTATATTGGCCTGTCCTGTATCCATTGGCCGCCTGTATCCAACGTATCGGCTTGGAGATTACACTATTTGTATGCAGGGGCTCCCATACCATGGAGGTATATATACCTCCATGCCCATACACGTACGAGTACTCGCTTAGGGCATACAAACTACATAGCAAGTTATCGAAAAGTACTTATGATAACCAGAGTGGCTTATGATAACCAGAGTGGCTGTCCAGGAGAATACTGGCAATCTTTTTTTTTTCACGTAGACCATATTATAAATGTAAAACACGGAGTACAGAAAGTGATGCAATTTCTAACGGTACAAGTTGCCACATCAGCATATCTGATCACACGCCTGCGAAGCGCACTCAAGCCTCCCCCTCCCCCTAACAAAACGGCGAATTCCCTTGATCTAAGGATGTACGAACGCTCTACCTTTGCTGGAACGCCCTGACGAGCAGCCAGACGATCAGGGGCAGGTTGTCCCGCTCGTTGTAAGTCGGAAGAAGAACTGAGTACTTGTCGGAACCTTTTTTCGACGCCATGATCGCTGTGGACGGTGCGACTATTTCTGAGGGGTAAGTTTACTGTTATTTAGCAACTCTGTAAGAACTTATTTGCCTTGTATACTTCACAACGTTTGTTATGTACATATCCAGATATATAAGTAAATTTAGTCTGTGTAATTTTTTAATGAGGTTTATGGAAGGAATTCGCTCTACTATTTTGTCATGAACATCCCCGTTTTGTAATATGGCACATTCCTTCCTAACAGCTGATTCGGGTCAAAGGTGACAGGCAGTATGGCGGTGTGTGTGCGGAAAAATGTAGCAAAACGCGTGTTTCCGTCTCCATGGTAACGTCTAGACCATAAAATCAGGATAGAAACACAGGACAGGTAGGTATTCATCGTTACAAAACTCATTGTGATACGAACAAGTCCAGAAAAGAATATTTGAGGCCCCGATTCTTTGTAGAGTGCCCCCCTCCCCACCTGACCTACGTCCCACCCAACTAGTACTAGTGCTAGCTTCTCTCTTATGGTTGTGGTTCGTATTACCTGTCTCTTGCGTACATGAATGGCTTCTCTTGTCTACAAAACTACAGTCTAAGGGAATTCCTTGACATCTAAACCCAGTCTATAGTACTAGTACATTTATCGAGAAGAGTAGGTGTGACCTAGCTGGTGTGCTTGGCCAAATCAAGGAGGTTAGTTCACGATTGTATTAGGTACATGTAAAGGCCACAGACGTAATAGTAAACTAAATACATCCGTACATGTTTCTTTACGGATGACCCTGTTGATGCAGTGAATATTTTCTTTTGACAGAGTACGGCGCTAGTGGATATCTAGGCCTTAAGAACAGTGGACTCGTCTCATCTCCAGCCTAATTTCAGCATCCACCATGCGGCTGTTACTTGCAACCATTAGACAGACATGTGTCTTGCCTAGGAAATTCTTCTCTGGTGCAACGTTTTCCCATGGACGTGTGGTATGTGTGTCTGCTGTGACCAACATAACCAACCACAGCCCATACAGGGGGATGTCCTCACAACAACTCTCACAGCCAGGTCATGGACCAGGTACAGGTGGCAAGGAGAAGGAAACTTTCTTAAGAAAGCTCGCCAGGATCAGGCAGAAGATTGAGGAGGAGGAAAAGACGTTTGGAAAACTTGTGTACGAGTCTAAGATCGCACCCATCCTGGTGGCCTTCAAGATTTTTATCTATGGGTCCAGTGTGATCACTATGGTCTCCCTCTTCACCAATGGGGTTGAGCAGTATGCTGAGCTGAGCAATGTGATGTTCACAATAGTTATGGCTGCCACCATGGCAATAATCATAGCCATTCCCTGGTCCATGAACATGCTGACTTCTCGGTTTGTCCTACGGCTGTACTATCGACAAGACAAGAACCTGTACACTGCCATCAAGTTCAACAAGGCCATCGGAGACAGGAGGTTTCAGTTCACACCTGAAGACATCACACCTGTCCATGAGAGAGCCAAGAGAACCCTGAAGGGAAAGTTCACCAGCTTCTACTTTGACCAGGAGCCCATGTATGTTAACAAGTTGTGGTTCGAGGTCCCCAAATACTTCAACCACCTCATGGGGTATGAAAATATGCTGGCAAAACCCAAAGCTGAACCAAAGTTCTGGAGAAAGGGTCTAATTCAGAAGTGACAGATTGCTCTTTGGTTTAAAAACAGGAGCTGGAAAGTCAGTGAGACAGTAATAATAAAAAAAAGAGTGAACCATAGTTCACAGTTGTTCCATGTTCCAATCATGACCATGTACATGTACATGTACATGTATTGTTCCTTTCCAGGCTCTCCTTTCAGACTAGACAGTCCACTAGATAAATATGTATCATCTTATGAGACAGGCTGTCTCACATGATAGTAATACAGGAATCATTGTTTGAAGACACCATATGGTGTGTTAGAAGACTGTGTTAGTTAAGGAAGACAGTAGACTGTGTTAGGTAAGGAAGACAGCTGCTTCTCTTTCATAAAGTGCCTGTTTTATTTGATACATGTAGCTTCACTAGTTTTGCTTGTAAAATGGTTCAGGCTGTAAGACAAATGTAATATTCTGTAATAAACTCGTTTTGCTGCTGTTTTACAAGATCAAGGGTGAACTCATTTTTGTATCCCTACAGACATTGTTATATACTAATACCTACCTATTTCCACCAACCAATGAAGGTGAAGAATTGCCTCTGGGCTCGTGTGTGTGTGGCTGAAGTCAGCATTACTGGCATGACTACATGGTAATGCACCGTGTTCTCACCTTTTAACAATCATAGAAACAAGACAAGCAAAAATATGCTCATTCATTACTTGCGTCTTTATCATTTTTTTAATATCAATCTTCCATCATTGGTATGGGGTGGTAAATATAATGCAGCGTCTGAAAATCATGTTTTCTTCAACACGTTGACCATTACAGAATATATACGTTCATGATGCTCAATTCGCTTCCGTTGAATGACGCTAGAGGGCGCTGGAAATGAAAAAAAGTAAGTTGGAAGAACTACTCCAGATGATAGCATTTAAATGTGTTTTAATCATTACTTAAACCCACAAATGATTAGCCTGATATCCGTCCTACTTTAGCTCCGGTTCGCTCTGATCGCTTTCATGCCAAATCTACAATAGGATGGATACTAGGCTGGAAAATAGTTTGTTACTATACATTATGGATATGCCATCCTGTGTACATCAGTATAACATTTATACAAAGTTATTTCCTAATGGCATACGAAGTAGTTTCATACAGTAACATGCCTTTAGGCATTGTTGCCGATCAATGTTATGAAATTTGGATATTGCTTACCTGCTTTCAATGTTTCAATTCAAAGCTTGTACGCACTGGGCATATTAAATACGTGAATACTTATATCTACTGTACATGTACTAAAACTATTGTTCCATAGGACAGGCACATAGACACATGTTGTCACATAGTTTACCTCGACTATAGCTACTTCAGTACAGTATGCTGTGATGCCGACGTTTTTAACACAGATCAGCTATGATTTCATCTTCAGCGCTACACTGGAAACTTGCTTTTCAAATGTCTGGGTACAAAATATGGCTGTCTCTTATCCATAACATTAAGCTTACTAAACATCTTCCTGCCACTTTTGATTCACTCCTGACGTCACCATATGCATGCTTACGGATTCCGACAAAGACAAAGTCCGAAAAGTGTTGGAACAAAGTTTAAACTTTTCAACTATCTTTGACAGCTTTTGGACGGTGTCCAAGCGGCAGTGCATCCGTTATGGAGACAGATTTAACTGTAATTTCCCAACACAAAGAAATCATTAACTATCTGGCAAATTTGATCCAGCATTTATGCCCGGCTAGGCTGTGGAATGATTTATTTCTTGGCAATGACTGGTTCTATTACCGTCACAACGTTGAGTAAGTTCAATTTCCCCTTAGAAATTACAGCTGAAATCCGTCTTCACAGTAACTCCTTCCAACGCAGACGAACTTGCAAGCTAAGATAAGAGCGCTCATTTTTCGTAAGTGGCAGACTGTCCCCAAGCTACTTTTCTCAATTTCCCGTTCTTGCAAGGCGCCTACCGGGCCTGACGCGGTTATTTTTCCTGCGGCGATGTCATCTCGTGTTTTATCTGCGGAAAGAAAGCATCCGTCGCCCTGCGGGGCTCGGCAGGCGGAACATTTTATCGTCGCTACTTTACGTCGTTTATTAAATCTTCAAGGTTGCATTTTCCCAGTAGATACGAGAATATTGCATCATCTATTTACTACATAGACCATTCGTTTTACAGCTATTACATGTACAGTTAGTCTGTATTCACAGTTTCTTAATACCAAGGGTGACAAGAGGGCCAGCCTCAATGGGGATTGTAAATATCTGTACATAGTTCTCAATTCTCCTTTAATATGCATCTTGATGGTCCTGTCTGAAGTAACATTTGGAAAACGTTTTGCCCGAGGAAGCTTGTTATATTAGCTGGTTTGCTAGCTTGATAAAGTTCCGAAAGGGTTGTAATTTTTTCATGCGCATCTATAAATGGGATGATTTCGAAGACAATAAGTATGTCGTTGATTCGACGATTGTATTTCAAGTGCTATTGAAGCCTTACACATCCTTGTGTTGGAGCCATTCCAGTGTTGCGAGTAGCAACGCAAAGTCATATATACGGGAATAAAAGGCTACTAGCTTTCTCTTGTACATAAGATATTGTTTTGTACAAAAGGTTACTAGCTTTCTTTTGTACATAGATATTGTTCTGTACAAGCTTAAGACAGCATGTAGATATTACCTTCTGAATGGTCTAGCCCTAAGACTACCGTGTATATATAGTGCGCCCACGCTGACCATGACAATATTCGTAATCTCCAAGCAGATCTTACTGTGGCAAGGCAGTATCCAATTGGCCGGAGGAGTGACAATTTTTGGAGGTCCAGTTTGGCTTTAGGTCACTCATCCGCTCTGGCCAATGGATACTGCTATTCCTAGGATCTGCCTGGAGCTTAAATGTTGGCTAGTCATCTCTTACGGAGTCTTAAGTCATAAAAGCTGATACAAGGACCAGTAGGCAGCGTTGAATATGACGAAAGTCAAGGGGAACGCCACGCGGCAGCAGTTGTCGATGATTTGGGCCTTGTCCTTCCCAGTGGTACCCTCCGGTTTTGTCTTCGGTTCCAGGATCTTCAACGATGCAACATCTTCAGACTTACTGCAAGATTCCTACGTTCAAAGAAAACAGTGAAAGTTAAAGGCGGGGGCACCATAGACTTTCTGCACCCATTATCCACTGCTCGTTGAGGCACATGGCATCACAGAAGCGGTGGATTGCTCATTTAAAAAAAAAGAATGGGGTTGAGTGGAGAATAATAAAGATAACATATATAAATAAGGTAACTCTTTGTCTCGTTGCCAAAGGGTTTAGCTGTCAACGTGTGGGGAGCAGGAGGTCCAATCAAACGTCGACATTCGGTTATGAAACAGAGAACTTATAGATTACTTTTTGTATCTACCTGCTGAAAGTGGATGAAACTATTTTCAGAGTTGAAAAATGTTTTTAAAAAAGTATTCGTTATGGGACTTCCTTTCCATCCAGGGTGAAATTTGTTTGTGTGGACCTCTCAAATCGGACTGCAGGCCAATTTTCATTGAGATCACAAGGAAAGAAGTAAGGGCCAGACAAAGTATATAACAAAGATAGTTTACACATCCGTTAAAGTACTAATAAATCTATACATATATTCAATGTTTTACATTGAAGCCTGTTGATGGGTTTGCCGACTGACATAATCCACCCCAGGGCCGGGTGCCCTTTGCGACCGTAACTGCAGTTCCTATGGCCGCGGGCAGCAGAGCTATTATGGATGATTGATCACCCTTTTAAAAGTTTACATTTCTGTACAGCGACACTTCAATGGAGAATAGGTCGTAATTACATCGTCTGTCAATTTGCAGACTTCCGTCCCAAGTGAAGCCCATCTGCGTTAGGAAGCTCAGGTGGTTTTAAGTGATGATTTCGCCGTTCGAGAGATCTTTAACTCCAAGTTCACATGCGTCTCAGGAGGGCTACTGCTTCATAATTGCGTCTTCCATTATGCTGTCTAGACCTGATCTCCATTTTTATACCATCGAAAGGAATATTGGCCCTGGGGGGCACGGCCTGCTTTGTACAAGAAATTGAGGTCTAAAATAATGGAAACAATCATTTTTCCCTCACGGCCAAACTTGCCAATAAATGATGCTCTATATGTGTAACAACTTGAACATTCAATATGCCAGATGTTGCAATATACGAGCTTAGTCTGTATATAATTTTAAGAGCTGCGAGCCAACAGATATGGATAAAAAAAGGTTCAGGGGTCTCCCCAAGCAATGAAACAAGGGCGCTGCGCCTCTCATAAAGTTTTCAGCGCCTCTCATAAAATTTTCAAATGTAGGGTCTTCGTATTTTTGCTTGTGTTAGCTTGGCTAATTCGTGAAATTTTGCTGATTTGGGGGCCAAGCGGCGTCACTATGCCCATCGGTATTGTCTGACAAAAGTTGTGAAAATGCGCTATTTGAATAACAATAGTCCACTTAGCTACACAAAATCAATGTGTTTGGTAAAATATTTCACTAACCAGGTTAGTGAAATATTTATATAGTTACGTACATATACCTTGCCGTTGGCTGTGCTGGATCGCCGCCGTGCGAAGATAGCTCCGAACCTAAACACAAAGTTGACGACGGCGTACTCAATCAGAGCCGAGAAGACGAACAGTTGGCACACGACTATCCACACGTCAAGCGCCCGGACGTAGGAAACCTGGAAACGAAGGAAAGGTTGTCTTCACCTATCTTGAAAGTTCATCTGAGTCATTCGGAGGTCTCACAACATATACACATAGAATCGCCTGGACATTCAGTCTCACTGGACAAAATAAGAATCTTGGACACAGAACTGGACTTTTTGCACGAGGGATTAAAGAGGCCATCTACACCAGGGCATTACAACCATCTCTCAACAGAGACGGGGGGCGCCACAGACTTTCTGCAACCTATGATCCACTGCTCACGGAGTCACGTGTGTTATCTGCGTGACGTCACGGAAGCGGTGGATTGCTCATTCCTTGACAAAGACTAGAGTTGCACAGTCGAAAATTTGGTTGAGTCCAATTTGTTTTGTTGGAAATTGCAGTTTAAACTTGCTTCATAATGTTGTCTTCACTTGTTTCGTAGGTAAGATTTATGTCTGTAGTAAATAATCCCCGCACATATGTTCACAAATATTGATGACCATGGGGAACTAATAACTGGTTTTTATCATCTACCAGATAAAACAGATTGTTGTAAATTTATTTATTTATTTCATTTTAAAACGGCTGGGTAGCCCATTCAGCTACGACACGTCAATTTAGTTTTAATCCTCTTTCCTGGCTGAGGTGTTGCGTATTCTCACAATAATCTTTACAGAAGGCACAAGACTTACCGCCAGAATCTTACCATTGCTTCAATCGTACTCTCTAATGATGACTCCAATGAAAGGTTTAGGCTCGGCTTATTTGGCGTGTTTTTGGCGTTTATATCGGGCTTTCTTTTTTGTGTTGGTATCTTTTTTACGTCAGCCTTCGGTTTGCAAATGGTAACTACCTGACAAATGGATACTGCCTGACCAATTTGATACAGTCTTTGTTTGCAGCCACTGCAGATCTGCTTGGAGATTACGTTGGTCGCACCTCAGCCATTCCTGCAGATTTTCGGAGGCAAATTGATTACTGTATTGCCAATATGATAATGTCTTGCCGGTTGGTTACGATGTTGAGCATCGGAGTCAATCACTTAGAACAACATACCCACTCATTCCGATGAAGATAAGACCTCCATGTAATAGGATTCACAAGAAAACTGTTACTCAAGTAACTGGTTAGGTAATGAGATACACAAGAAAACTGTTACTCAAGTAGCTGGATAGATTTTGAACTGTTACGACGTTACCACCGAAGGAACTGATTGGAGAAGACTCACCTCAGCCATCCCGGCAGCGCGGGAGCTCTGCGCCGTCATGGTGAGGACCGTGGTGACGCCCAGACACACCCGGGCCGGCACCGCGCCCGCGTCGATCCAGAAGGAGACCCAGGACATGATGACGATGGAGGTGGAGGGGATGTACATCTGCAGCAGGTGGTACGCCAGGCGCCGGGACAGGTGCAGCTGGATCTCGGCTGATGTGAAGATGTTCTTGTTGCCTGGGAAAAGATTTACATGATTAAAGCCCTTCCTTCATTATGTTTACCTTCGCAGTAAGAAGAATATTGTTTTTTGCTTAGTTTCTTCTTCCATTCTAAACAAATAATGTCAATGACCTGGGCCAGACGTCTGTCACCATGTTAACTGGTGTCGGATACCTGATGTAGCAAGTGGCAGGACAGAGTTTGAGGGGCCGGTCAAAATATTTATGACAGGGAAGTAGTTTGTATGGCGATCGAGACCATGTGAAGGTTAACATTGTGCATTTGACCTTCTACTTTGTTCCTGTATTCAGGACTCTATCAGGCTTCAGGAGGCCTGGTAGAGGCACGAAAGAGTAGAAATGGGCCAAATAGAGAGAAAACATGCCAGGGGAGTTGGTCCGCTAGAGAGTACAGTTTGTACCGCACCCTGTCGAAGCCAAACACGTTGTTTAGTTGATTTCTACTCTATCCAACCGCCTCCCGAAGCCTGGTAGAGGCTATGTTAGGTACACAGACGATGTTAGTGCATCTTACTAACTTGTCTCACTGATCACATTGCATTGGTCCGTGTCGTTGGTACAGAACCCGCTGTAGTAGATGCACCGGTCGCACTCCGGGCTGCCCACGGCGTCCTCACATCGCTGCTGGTTCGTTAGGCACCGGTCCGCGTCCTGGTAGTCACAGGTGTTCCTGTGGTACACGCACCCTTTACCTGCACGGTGGAGGTGGTGCATGGGATGTCAATACCAATATCGTCTTTACTTCCAAAATCATGCCCGAAGGCTTTTACAGACTGAGTCAAAGAGACGGTACAATACAATAATAGGCAACAGACAACGACTGTCTGGAAAAACTTAAACTTCATAATAGCAAGCGTAGTAGCAGAAGTATGACTTCTTTGAAGGCAGTGGATAATGAATAGTCCCACGTTCTGCATAATGAGTGGGTTTTGTGATCTTACTAGGAACACAGTCTTTGGTGACCTTCTAGGTGATGTGAGGATGGAGAAATTGTGGTAACGCTTTGGAATAATCTTTTTCTGTTTGTCTCAATATCAATAAATCTGAATCTGAGTGTGTTAAGCCCTTGGCTTGTTGGTGTTCGAGGGAAGGTTCTGACTGTTACTCTCCAAGCAGAGGTTTGGGTTTTGGGGCCTGGGTTTGGTAGGAAAAAAAATTCAGTGCAAAAGAGAAACCCCGATAAAAAAAGCCTAAAAACACGCTAAAAATACCCCCAAAACCCAAACCTCTGCTTGGTACTGAATGTGACTTTCTTACATCTTGCATTCCCCAGGAAGAGAGCATTGTTTCTTCCACTCTTCTCGGTCTTGGAAGACCCCCACCTCCTTAAGTTGTCTAGTGTGTTCATTCTGTACTACGCTAGTGTTTCTTGTATGCTATCCTTCAATCTTTTCCTTGGCCTTTCTAGTGGACATTTATTTGCCCTTCAGTCTGTGTCTAAATGCCATTTTGTGGATTCATTTGTCCCCCATCCTTTCTACATGTCCCTATGTTGCTACTTTGTGGAAATTGCTTATTTCGCGAGCCTGTCTGTGCAATAGCGAAAACAGTAGTTTATTTACGGCCCGGGTAGATTGTGCGTTCTTAGGAAATCCTTTCCAAAGCCACAGCCCCTTTACGTAAGCAAAAATGAAGAAGAGTACCCATTATGAAAGTTAGCTGTATCCCTCGGTAAGGAGGGAAGACTTAGATACCGTACGAACCATAAATAAAGGGATAAAGCAGGAACACGTACAGCAATTACTAGTTATCCGAGGTTTTGTACGACGGGTTTGAATTATCTCCGTAACAGCTGTGAGTAAGTGATTACTCGGTAATTTTGCCAAAACATATTTGTCACGCTAATATCCCGTGAAGCTGTGATAGCCGTGAAATGCCATCACATAAACAAAACGCTTCTAGTTGTATGTGTCCTGCTATGCTTTCCATCTCTTCTGGGATTGACTCATGCTATCCATAGCTAGTTTTTCAAATGTCTTGTAAACGCCTTTTTCATTGTAAAAGTGGCTGCGAGAATATAAGTTATACCTAACTTGAGTTCGCAGTCACTTAGTCCATGTCCTTTTATTTGTATTCATCACTGTGCTTCTGAATAATAATAAAAACAATGCTATCTCACCGGCGATGTTGGGCAGGAAGGAGTTGGCGTACGCCTTGACGCTGAGGCCTGTCATCTTGAACTGTGAGTGAAGCGCGGTGGCGTCCGTGATGACAGGGGCTGACGTCTGGGACCACAGGGACGGGAAACCCCAGCGCAGTCTCGCGTCTTCGTCTGCAATTGTACAAAAGCCACGCAAAGCTTCTTAATGGTTTCAGGAGGACACTTAATATCCTTAAATGTCATTTAAGATGAAAGGAGTGGTTTTATTGTCACTTTCGTGTACGTGACGAATAGGTGATTATGTCTTAACGGCTGTTGCAGTTAATCTGAAGACGATGTAGGATTACATGCAATATGTCATGGGAATAAATTTCCTTTGAAGGCCACCTTAATAGCGCCTCTGTCGCCGCCTTGCCTGAATGATTTTGAGTACTGACACGGATTACCTGACACTACATGGTCATGTTACATGCACCTTATTACAAGCTAAGTTAGATTACATATACTTATCCGTAACAGAACACAAGGGCAGACCGCTGGAGCCATGCTGGGGTTAATTGTATCTTTGAAGACGAACTGTGAGGTTTAGATCATCCTATGATTCATGCACGAAAGTAGCAACTGGGACTACACTATAATCAACACAACAAAGTTATTGCACGGTACAGATGGTCGGCTTTGGTCGTGGAATTGGATGGGAGTTGGTTTTGTGACCTAAACCGTTCATGAAAGTTTGCCTAGCATAATACGAGTATGTGGCTTCCCTTTACTTCCTTTTTCAAACACTGCTATTAGTACTAGTAAGTTTTACGTAGACAGGATGTGAAGGTGAAGATAAAGTGCTGAAGGGAGTACAAGTCAGAACTTACATCCATCCAGTTTAATCTTGCATAATTGCCTGTCTAACGGGAAGCTCTGTAGATTCATCGCACAAGCTGCGGTAAGGTCAAACCTGGGAAACAGATGAATCACAAGATTAGTACGGACATTTGTCATTTGTTCTAGTTTAGCTGTAGTTTCTTTGCAACAAGTCAATATTGAATCAATATTCCTGCACTGTTTTGATATATTATTATAGTCTTTATAAGCAGCTGAATACCAGGTCTAGCGTTGGCAATGGGACGAATGACATCATTTGTAAATCAGAGGGTGTAAACAAAAATGAGAAAGATGCATCAAGCAGGCTTTTGTACTGTTTCCATCGAAGACCATTTTGTTATTTTCAGAGCTTCATGAACAGGCGGCGTATTTTTATGTTTATCAAGTTATCAACTATAGAATTGTCATTTTGACCCTCTTTTCACCAATATTTCACTGACCAACTCGTTGAGTTTTAGTTTAAGTTTGAGCATAATGCCTGATACCGTACAATGTGCACGTGCCCCTCTCCCTCACCTCTGCACACGATTCACGAGTCCATCACGTGAAACCCACGTGGTGGTCTCCTCCTCGCCCGTGGTCATCTTGATGGCCTTGGTGTTCCGGAAGTCCACGTGGGGGGCCCAGATCTCCACCTCGGGGTCCACCGGCACCCAGGACTGGTCGGTCAGGTTCGCCAGCCGAGGGTCACGCCACTCCATACTCAACTGCACGCTCGCTTTGAAGTCCTGGGGGAGGGGGGATTTCAAAGGCGTTTGAGTTTATTAGGATCCACATTTACCATACATGTGTACATGGCAGCAGCTGTCGTTTCTGCGGACCACTCTAACACACAACTTCTTTCGGATCTTCATAAGTGTGCTACACATAGTGAAGACTGCTTTTCTGGAGACCAATATAGAATATAATACACACCCAGCTGCACACTCGCTTTGAAGTCCTGGGGGGGGGGTTCAAAGGTGATCACTGATGTTTGAGTTTATTAGGATCCACATTTAGCATATATGTAATATTCTTCCTGTAATACATTCTAACACACGACTCGACACACAGGAAAATATACAAAACATAAATTTTATGTGATCTGCATTTACTTTCAAGCATCAAGCAACAAATACTTATGTAATGGAAACATAAAACACAGTAATTACAAGTAATTACATACAAAATACGTTTTCCTTACTAAATTACACCAATAATCAAACAGAATAAAAATACAATCAGTTCAAGTACAGAATAAAACCTATGACAATACCAACAAAAATCAAATATAAGTATGTACAGAATGGTACAATAAGTTGAACTTGGCAACAGCCTGGTTCCAGATTAGGATTGACCAGTGATCATGCTGTAATCTTGTAAGGTACGGTTATTTCCCAGGCTGCTAGATACAATGAGAATCGCGGAAGAATCAATACTCCTCTTCCAGGAATCTCATAAGATTTAATGACGGGCTTCTTTCTTACATTAAGGACAATCATTTCCAAATCAGTGGCCTTAGGAAATTCCTTGTATTGTAGGTAGAGGACTTTGGACGGGTTCCAAATGAAATTGTGGCTGAATTGTTATGTTGTTATGTTATGTCCATAAGCTGAAGACATTAGCTCGTCTCTGGATACCACATAGTGATTAAAATCAAAGCCACAATTCTATGGGTGACTATACGTGTATGAAGGTTACTCATCCAGGGATAAAATATACATGATACATATATACACATATATATATATATATATATATATATATATATATAGAGAGAGAGAGAGAGAGAGAGAGAGAGAGAGACAGACAGACAGACAGACAGACAGACAGACAGACAGAGAGTTGTAAAAATCTTGTTGTAAAACTTGACTATCAGTTGTTTCGATCACCATCCCACCATCCGGTGATTTTCCATCAGTGAAAGAAAATGAAAAGTATTCTTCAAAGTATTTTGATCATATTTCATCCGTACAGTAAAGATCATCGACATTGTTACCAAAACCTTGTATCTATCCAGTTGTTAATATTTTTTCGGGATCTGCAACTAGCATAGTATATCGTATCGTAACTATTCTTCCTGTGACCCTACATTTATACCCACTTCTAGTGTTGCAAGTATATGTCGAAGTAAAGTTTGTTTAATGGGATGACGAATGTTCCTTCAGCAAATGAGGAGACCATGACAGATAATCTATGCAGCTGCTACGATTAATGGGAAGTAATCATTTGTATCACCAACTTACGACGGGCAGGGGAAATTACTTTTCTCGAAATATACCCCATCATTGCAAATCCTTCAGGATTTACATCAGGGTAATGGCATTAATATTCTTACAATGAAGTACAAATGTACAGCAATTTCCTTGCAATTACTTTCCTATCATAAGAAGGAAATCATCATTAAAGATAGCTACTGGGCTGTGGGTAACGGATTTTTTACAGTTATGACAGGAGACGGTCCATTAAGATAAAGAGTCTGGGTTTGGGTCATCAAAAGTTTAAGAACACTGGAAACACTTCTTTCATACTTGTAGACGGCGTAAATTTCTGCTTTCAAACTTTTGAAGAGAAAATGATGGGCAAGATGTGAGAAACCGACTTCGTCGACCTAACGCAGACCCTTAAAAGCATCATATTTGCCACACTTAGAATAAAGGTAAAGGTCTCATAGCATTCATATGTCCGTAGGGCAGTGAGTCGTTATCCTAACCACTAGGCCACCCACGCGTACCACCAGCTGGTGATCACCCAACCAACCCTGCTAATTGAATAGTAAACACCATCCCCACAATCACCTCGCTGAGCATTAACACCACAGATTCTGGAGAGTGATAATGCCACCCAAAAATGATTCTATAAATAAGGCGAACCCCCAGGGTAGTTGTGAAAGAAGGGGTTAACTACAAGCAATTATCATCTAAGACTCCCGCTAACCTGCGCGGCTATCAGCGCGACCTAATGTAGATGGATGAGACCATTTTCCATCTAAAATCGATTAATGTGTGACCCCCGCTTCACCCTATGTTAAGGAGAGAGACCCTGATCACACCGAGGGTGTTCCCGGACCGCCGCTTAACGAGCGCACCAGCACGACGTCAGAGATCGATGCTGGGCTCAGACTGTGCCAGAACGTGCCCGATAATAAGTGGGAACAAGCTTACGCAATGTCGTGTAATTTCAACTTTTACGACAACTATAAAGCGTCTTCTTTTAATTGATAGGCTACATATTGCAGTATACGATTAAGTATTATGGCAGCTCCCAATCTTTGAATTTGCTAGTGGTTATCACGTAGGGTTTGTTGGTGGCAATAAAAATACCTGCATATTTAAGAGTCATTTAGATAGAAAGAAGGCCAGTGCACTAGAATATAAATGCTGTAGACCAAAGTTGAAAGCAAAATCCATTCTAGTAGGAGTGACCTGTTATTGACGATACCGGACCGAAATGCAATGATGGGTGCAAATTGGAACACACATGACATATTGAGACTTCGGACCACCAGATGTGGATCAGTAGCCACCATACCTACATCACAGTCGACAAGAACTAGGAGCCGGGACCAAATTATTCTTTATATCAGAGCAGTCTGTTGTTGGCAGCCTGTGAGATTGCAATTCGGTCACCTTGACTTTGGCTCACCTTATCAGATACATCCGGGCCAATTACTCTGTGTAGAAAATTGGACATTTATGTAATGTAATAACAAAGAGAACATATAGCGGTGGATGGATACTTCCAACGGTATGATAATATGAAATATAATCATAAGATTGATGGAAAAGAAAATGAGAACGAAATAACATAGCATTGCTTTTAGGGATCTGCATTGCTTTTAGAAATCTGCAGCATCTTGAAGGGCATGATCTGGTTTGCCGTTTGCGTTCGTGCGTGGTCGTTAACGGCACGACAACGTCGTTTTCAGTGCGTGTCAGCAAGAATGTCACCGCTCTACATGTACAAGATATGATTACCACCAGCCAGGTATTCCTTCTGACGGTCCATCCCATAAAACTTAATGGCTTGAACATTGGCAGAATGGTGAACCCGTGAGGAAAATTTCAAGTATTCACATCAAACTGGTCGCGAATCCCAGCCTAAGCCTACCTTCGTCAAAACGTAGAAATGTAAAAACATGAAAAATGCAAATATTTGACGGGCCTGCAGCCTTTCTCTCATTGATCAAACTAATCGCTAATTCCTATTCTCTCATTAGTTGAAGTGCTAATTGTGATTAACGATCAGACTCAGTCTAGTTGGTAATATAGTCGGAGAAATGGCCATGTTTGAGAGTTTGAACTTGAGTAACCGAACAATCCACGACAGGTGGCCGCAAATTATAGGTGACAGATGGTCTCTAACCTACATACCGCACCTTCTAAAGGTACCGCTTAATGCCACTGGTACCGTACTTAATACTGATGGATTGTGATGGCACCGTTTTCCTTTGCCTACTAACAACGCTGTGGGTACGTCCATTCATCTCCGGACTTGTGATGACGTGTGAGGAACGCCCCAGGATAATGTCATGTTCATGTGTATGCAGAAGGCATACTCATAGTCTCTGATAGTCTGAAATGCAGGACCTTTACCCACAAGGGCACAATGAATCAGTTTGGCATTCCTCATATCAAATGAACATCGGGATGCCGAAAGCAATATGTAAGGGGTAAGTGGATCAGGTTGTAACTGTTATAGTTTCCTCCAATGTACAATTATTCGGGATGAAAAAGTAAGACCACAGTAACATTAGACAAACATGTTACTGTCGTAAGGCAACACACTATCTAGTTTGTCCTTGTATGAACCTTTCCTTTATTAATGAGAAGCTCAAATCAGCCTGCAGGCCGCTTTTCGCTGAGGTCATGACTGAAGAGTATAGTAAGGGCCATGCAGACTATTCGTTAAGAACTCAGGGCACTGGGTGCAAAGCCTTTTACTGGTCCCTTAGCAATGTACTGTGCTTAATTCACACATTGGGAATGCTGTCAAGCCATACCGGTCTTTAAAAACGCTTTGATCTGTTTTATAACACACGATGTAACGCTAGTGGATATTGCAGGTACCTAACTCAGCATCACCTATCCCTTCATATGGCGCCTTTCTCTCAACAGAACTGTTACAACTCATTTCCGCGCGCTAACCATGAATATCTATGAATTTAGATACTATCATGTTTACGATTAGGTTTATTGCTGGTAGTATGCAGCTTGGTAGAGCAACCTTAGGAGAGAGATAGCACGGTTGCCGCCTTTCAAGTAACCATCTTAATCCGCGTAAAACTGCCGACGACCTCTGAGAGCCCTCTAAGTTGTATGACAAGGCTATACTTGACGACCGCCGCTGCCATACATGGAATGTACAGTTTACTGTCAGGGTGCCCTTCCACGTCTATCAATTATTCAGACCCATATTACAGCATGCTGTGGACTTTTTAGTATATCTTCATTCCTTGTATTTGCTACTCTCCAAGAAGACTGTTTGATGGGGGGGGGGGAGATCATTTGCTTTTTATATATGGCCCGTTTTTTGTCGCTACACGCACCAAAAATGGGCGACAAAAAAACGGTCATATATAAAAAGCAAACGTTCTTCCCTCATCATCTTCTGCTTGGAGAGTAAATATTTGCCACTGCCCCAGTGGATGTTTGCCATAAACTAAAATACAGTTCATTTGTAGCATCCAATAACACATACATCACAATTAGGTCCCTTGTCACTGGTAACGTCGCGCTACGTGTTCCCATCGGGTGCAGTTTTGTGTACCACTTGATCATATTTTATCTGTATCCGACTCAGTGACGAGGCAGACTAGGGATTTGGAAATTCACGTCGTAAACTTGATAGTGTCGCCAGTAGTCTAAGAACTGTCTGCGAGCATATGGCAAACATATTGTAAAGGAATGTCAATGCCCCCTGCATAGCCACCTGGCACTGGTATAGCGCCGCCAGTTAGTTCTGATCAAATTGAACACTGAAGACAGAACATCGGGGTGTCTTCCTAACAGAGTAAAGGCACGAAATTAAAAAAATAATATCATCATCATCTAGCGACCTTTGGGATGGACCTCAAGGATATACTGGTAGATCTCATTTCCCAACGTTCGGTCCTGCATTGAGGCAATAGTGAGGGACCGTGCGCAGGCATGTCGTCGACATTTACAAATCAATCTGGATGGATCCTGGTAAAGCGCGGAATATCTGGAATCGATTTTGCAAAACGCTGTGCATTCGTCATTGTTATCATGCTGCTAGTGGCCTAATGAGAGGATTCTTTGTGAAATTCAAAGTCATCCATAAAGGGATGATGGCCTCCATGTCTGGCGCCCGTGGCCGATTGGTCAGGCTAGCGGACACAGGATCGTAAAGGTCACGGGTTCGAATCCATGCATTCCTGGCTAGACGTTGGGTCATTGGGAAAGGCACTCACATGACCTCTCTCACTCCACATGACTTTCATTACCATATCCTAGACACAGTGGATTCGCAACCCAGTCACCCTAAGACCTTTCGAAAGGCTATGGGACCTTTTACATTTTATTGCGTTTTGAAACCTTCTTTAATGCCACGTCGCTGGCTGTACTTTTAAAAATAAGGTCCAAGAGCCCTGGGGCATGTCGTACAGTGTTATTTGAATGATATGATTCACCTTTGATGTTCAGTATTTTATTTGTGTTATACTATGTCTGGCGATATTAACTGCTTTTAGTTAGACATGCTTATGAAGTCTAGATAACTCATCAATAATTGATTCGCAGAAACGCATCTTGCTCAAGTTCAACAAATCATGAAGAATCGTATGTCACCAGAACATAAAAATGTACAATACTGGTGTACCATGGTATATTAAAATTTTCACCAGTCTAACATATCGGTTACGGATAATGTTGATCTTACGGTTCTTTGATTCCAAACGTAAATTGATCTTCTTTTTAACCTTTCGGCGCAACTGCTTTTAACGTGATTAGAACGCCCGACTTCTTGTCTTCATCGGCAATGCATATCTAGACATTTGTCATTACCAATACATCAGCTTCGCAAAACCCATTTTGCGTTGTTGTATGAGAGCACACTAGCTCCTGGCTCACCATTTGCGACATGTATATGTCAGAAACATCAAGGTCCTGTAGCTACGATAATCTTGACCTTACTTCGGCTCTTCGATTCCAAAGGTAAATTGATCCTTTCACCGCAACTGCCTTTAACGTGATTAGAAAGCCCGACTTTCTGTCTTGATCAGGGATGCATATCTAGTCATTTGTCTTTTCCAATACATCAGCTTCGCAAAAAGGAATTTTGTAATGCAAGAGAGGCAAAAAGGAATTTTGTAATGCAGGAGAGCCAACTAGCCCCTGGCTCAGCATTTGTGAAATGGAAATTTCTTAGAGCATCAAGTTCTAAGGAACTAAAAGTTAAACTTCAGCTCGTCGCTTCACTTTTTCTTAGATACTATAATGACATTTGATGGATGCTTGAGCAGTAGGACATGGCTAAGGTCAGTGACCCCAGACGTTACTTGCGTGAGTAATCACATTTTCCAGGAACTTCACCGCACAATTCCCGGAAACCCCGGATCGTACGTACGGTAATTGATTAAATGTCAAAGTTGCCGCAGGGAATATGATAAAAGTTCGATATCAGCCCAAAGGGAGAAAACCTATTTACGAAAGATGGGGGATACAGAGTTTCTCTTTAGGCGATAACGCTGCCTAATGCCAAAAGTTTGATATTCGATAATTGAATTTTACATGGAATTGATTCATTCAATTACATTATGTTGAAATATACGAATATATATATATATATATATATATATATATATATATATACTTATATAAGTACATATATATATATGTACTTCAATTCAAGTTCTGTGCATTATTACTTTTTATGTCTCTACTAATACTTGCAATGTGTCATTGTAGCTGTATTTCAACCGCCCCAGCCCGTCTGGTGTAACGGTAGACTGTTCGTCTCCAAGAGGACCTGACATGCCACCGATCTTGTGCCCTTTGGAAATGCACTTTACACGACTTTCCTCACTTAACTCAGGTGTGAATGAGTATGTCTGTATGTCTATATTTCAATCTCAGAACAAAGTTCCTGTAACCAACAAAATAGCTAATTTGCATAGTCCCTACCCGACCTGTCAGAAGACCAGGTTATCAGGCGGAGTGTTAGAGCACCCGGTCGAACCTATCTGACAGCCTGATGGATACCCTGTCTTCAATAACACCCCGGGCACCGTAAAAATCAAACACATGACGTCTAACCCCTGGCTGATGGGTGAAGATTGTTCACGTACCATGGTGACCTCTGACACGGCTCCGAAACTCAGGAGATGGGCCGCTAGTGTCACATCCATCCATCGCTCTGAAAGACAACAGCAGAACGAACAGTTAGCATCGACATGTTCTGAACATGGATCTTGTCATGACACAGAAGTTCTTCCAAACATGTTAACTAGGTACAAAGCTCTTCTTTCAGCATTACCAGTGCTGCACTCATGTTATACTGATGATAGGTACCAAGCAGACAGCACATGATGTGCGTTCATAGATATCCCTTCAAATACTATTTCGGATAATTCATCTACTTCAAGAAAACTTAAGTTCGTAAGATAATAGGCCATTCATTAATATCCGCCATATAATATATACAACGCCCTAAAACTGCCACACACTGCATACTATGCATCAACAAATTGCAGCTTGTTGAGATATTGATTGTAACAAGATACCCACAACACAACACTTAAGCTACCATTAATTTTTGCCAACGCTAACGGATTTTATTGACAGTTTGAACTTTTAAACTTGGGTACTTTATTACTCCATTAGCTTTCATACACATAAACATCATACTTGTCAACATAAACATTTCTCAAAGTTCAACTGTTCAAAACATATAACTGTCAATCTTACAGAAAGTTCATGATACTTAATGGGTTTGCCACATATTAAAATATTGTGCTGCATCATAGCATCCTTGAACCCGGGAAGAAATAGTCTCCAGATTCCTCTAACAATATGCATGTAACCAGATCTAGTCTAGTCACAATAGATGATGACTATATGATAGATGGATAGGTATGACTTGGAATGTGGTAACGACAATGACTTCATCTCGTCTTTCTATCGTGACTCTGGGGGTTAATGGAAATTTTGGGAAGTTCCCGATAAGTTATTACCAAGGCCAGGTGAGAGAAGGATATGTATATATGTATAGTGGTGAGATCCCAAGAGTCTGAATTCTCCCCAGTGTCTGAATTATGTTGGTGTCGATTGAGCGAGTAAAGGTAATCATTTCTAACTTGAGTACCCACACAATTACAACTAGTTGCATCCCTGGGTTGCAGTAATCTGTGGTAGGGAGTTTATATATTCTGGGGATGAACCGCTTCCAGGTAGTCTGCATTTTTAATAGGTCCTAGAACACTATCAGACACTTTATCAGAGAGTAAAGGTTTAGTAAAAAGGGGGTACAAGAAAAGTATCGTAAGATGGATCACCGACAAGCTACCCCTCCCAGGTAAAATGTGGGACATCATTCACAGCTCCTTATCTTGTCATTGCGTCATCTCTCTTTGCTTTTTCAGATTAGTGTTAGAGTTATCGTTAATACTGTGAAGAGGCAATGACAAATGTTGCACTCAGATTCAGAAGACGAAATGTAAAGTACAGGATGAAAAAATCCGAAAGTTTTGGACCTCTATGGTAGTAGGCAGTCACTCGTGACTGAGCACCACTTCCATATCAGATCCTCGACACCTTGTACAAATCTTCATCCCCAGGCGCCCAAAACTTAGTCTGCCTGCTGAGCTTCTTTCTCTGTGAGCAGACCTGGAAACTGCGTAAATGAGAACTGGCGTCAGACCTGTCTGTGTCTGGACAAAGGTTTCAATGGTTTTGGATACCGGCACTGATCAGGGAAGAATAAACCAGGTCATCGTTACAAAAAGTTCTCTTCGAAATGATAAATTGCCACATCAATCTTCCAGTCCCTGGGAAACTTTGGATAACAGGATTGAGACAAGTCGGATCAGATAATGCATTGCTGTGGTAATATTGGTTTGTCCTGCCTGGTCCAAAACATAGATTTATTGCATTTGACTACAGACAGTAGGCTAATACGATGGTGTGAAATTAGTTCTCTTTCCTGCTGAGATAAGACCAATGTTTCCCACTTCTCCGGACGACTAGCAACAAATTACTTAACTCGGAAATTCGTGGAATCACTTTGGAACAATCTTTTTGTAATAAAAATCGAATTAATCGGCACACCTGCCCGTTTTGCCAAAGGAACCGTGTTGACATGTCGAGCCATTGAACCACTTAGGTTATACATAACGACAGAACACACCGCAAAACACACCACAAAACGGCCATTGCGGTCTTGTCGTTATACGCGTTCACTTGAAAAACCATTGTGCAAGGCAGTAACTTTGATGGCAGTCGCGCTGTTTTATGGGCAGTTGGGCCATTCAGGGCTGTAATGAGGATCGTATTTACTTCAACAGGTATCCGCAACTCAACCTTAAGCACCATAAAACTCAGCCGGCCGGTAACTCAGCCCGGAGTAACCGATCTGGTTTGGGCCAATATATGATAACGGTATTGCACTATGGGCACAGATGACAGTTGATGAATGCAGCAGCTGGAACTGAGGGATTCGTTAAGAAGACAAATTTGTGTCACATTGGCTGGTTAGGGGGAAATCCTGCATCATCTGGGAAATTAACGACACCTTCATTTGGTGAATACATTTATAGACAGGTAAAATATCCTCAAGGAATTCATCATTCAACGCCGATCAATATAGCCAGTAATTAATGGAAAACCCTGCTTACTTCACCCTTACATGATTTTGGCCCATCTCCAGCCCTAGTGGATGGCATACTTTGGACTTCAATTTTTTATTCTCTAGGAACACCCGTAGATACTGCGGAGTTGGCAGAAAGAAATGTCTTGTCAGCAGGCAAAGATATGAGCTGGATTAGGCCATCTTTTGCTTTTGCACGAAGTACTTTGCTTGGTGCAGCCAAGCCCAACCATAAGTCTTGATTTCATTCTGTTATCAGGACGTCGGTAGGATAGGGTGACAGACTGGCACATTTAAGATTCTCTGATGAGGACGATTGTTGGTTAAGTCCCTCAATTGCTCTGAACCCCCAACAATAAAAGGGACAGCAACCTTTGAAAAGTTGGTATTATCCCTGAGACATAATTACACTGTCATTGCCATGCTCAGAACTAGGTTATAGCTGCAATCCATCTTGCCTTATATTGCCTTCAAATTGATCCCAAATCCACCATAATTCATTGTTCCTCTCATGGTCCGTCTTGGCATTAAGCTAACTTGTGTCAGCTTGCCAATTTGTCTAGATGGAGATTCTGTAGGGGATCATAGTTATTACCGTAGCCCAAGGTTAAACGAATCTAATGATTCTGAAAAACGTTTGTTTTGATTAAAACACAAAATGCCCTTTGGGGTTCAGATTAAGGGATACAAGAGTCTCACGTTCTTACTATGTACATCTGCCATGATAAAGACCAATTATGATGTACCAATTAGATATAAATCGTCATACGGTTTCTATTCGCGCTTCACCATGTTCTGTTCATCAGCATCTTCATGTAGAGAAAATTATGTCAACGTGATCACGCTGTCCCATACATTAGGATTGAGGGGCATCATTGTGGAATCTTTATTACCTTCAGAGTCTTGTCAGCTACTAAAATAGGGCAAGCCATCTCAGTACATGCATCTCAAATCCTCAACTTCAATGGGGGCCCGCAAGCCCTTTTCCGTAGAGCGTAATCGGCCGTTTTAATTCTACGTAGAGCGTAGACGGACCGCTCTAATATTTTTGCGTAGTGTAATCGCCGTTTTAATTCTACGTAATGCGTTGTAGCCACTTGTAAGATCAAGTTGGGCCATCCAGGGCTGTAATGAGGATCGTATTTACTTCAACAGGTATCCGCCACCCAACCTTAAGCACCATAAAACTCAGCCGGCCCGTAACTTACTCTGGAGTAACCGATCCGGTTTGGACCAATATATGATAACGGTATTGCACTATGGGCATAGATGACAGTTGATGAATGCAGCAGCTGGAACTGAGGGATTCGTTAAGAAGACAAATTTGTGTCACGTTGGCAGGTTAGGGGGAAATCCTGCATCATCTGGAAAATTAACGACACCTTCATTTGGTGAATACATTTATAGACAGGTTAAATATCCTCAAGGAATTCATCATTCAACGCCGATCAATATAGCCAGTAATTAATGGAAAACCCTGCTTACTTCATCCTTACATGATTTTGGCCCATCTCCAGCCCTAGTGGATTGCATACTTTGGACGTCAATTTTCTATTCTCTAGGAACACCCGTAGATACTGCGGAGTTGGCAGAAAGAAATGTCTTGTCGGCAGACAAAGTTATGAGCTGTATTAGGTCCTCTATTGCTTTTGCACGAAGTACTTTGCTTGCTGCAGCCAAGCCCAACAATCTGTCTTGATTACATTCTGTTCTCAGGACGTCGGTAGGACAGGGTGACAGACTGGTACATTTAAGATTCTCTGATGAGGACGATTGTTGGTTAAGTCCCGCAATTGCTCTGAAACCCCAACAATAAAAGGGACAGCAGCCTTTGAACAGTTGGTATTATCCCTGAGACATAATTACACTGTCATTGCCATGCTCAGAACTAGGTTATAGCTGCAATCCATCTTGCCTTGTATTGCCTTCAAATTGATCCCAAATCCACCATAATTCATTGTTCCTCTCATGGTCCGTATTGGCATTAAGCTAACTTGTGTCAGATTGCCAATTTGTCTAGATGGAGATTCTGTAGGGGATCATAGTTATTACCGTAGGAATTGGGTACAATCTCGACAGTCCAAGGTTAAACGAATCTAATGATTCTGAAAAACGTTTATTTTGATTAAAACACAAAATGCCCTTTGGGGTACCAGATTAAAGGATACAAGAGGCTCTCACGTTCTCACTATGTACATCTGCCATGATAAAGACCAATTATGATGTACCAATTAGATATAAATCGTCATACGGTTTCTATTCGCGCTTCACCATGTTCTGTTCATCAGCATCTTCATGTAGAGAAAATGATGTCCATGTGAGCACGCTGTCCCATACATTAGGATTGGCCATAGCATAGGACTGAGGCATCATTGGGGGATCTTTACCTTCAGAGTCTTGTCCAACAAGGCAGCTTCAGTAACTAAATACCTGTTACCATTTCAGTATCTCAGATCCTGAGCTTCAGTGTCTCAAATCCTGAGCTTCAATGAAGCAAAGGTAAACAGTATACAGCATGCAGTGTTACATGTTAAATTATAGACGAAAGAAAGCAAAGAAATATACATCAATCTAATAATATGTAGACTACAGACGTGACGAGAGATGGCAGAAAGAGATCAGCTGTCACCTCTAATCACCGTGTGGCACCGGCAGGACCCTGGCACGTTACGCACGTGCGACCTCTGGGACGGGACTGGGCAGCTTCTGACCTCAGGTCTGCTGATGTGGCAGTTGTGCATGGTTGAATCCCAGAGTGATCGCTAGGTGTAAATCATTCTACAGTATTCCCGACTCATCTGCACCGTATTGCATAGGGTCGTGCATAGGGTGGCGCCCATCTCCGGTTCATGATGAATAGCCCTTGGGCCACACAGCAGTGCGATCACTACAGCAGGAGGGCTAGTCCACTGGTAGTGGTGTGTGTTTAACTCCCATACTCTTCCCCAGATGCTAAGTACCATGCAGAGGATACGACATACCAAGTCTTTGGTATACGACTGGGTCGCAGATCGAAATCATAACCTACCGAATGCAAGGCGAACATTCTTCCCCCTTGGCCATTGAACTTTTGAGATGACCTTAAGATAAAGGCTTTATCTCGGCTTTGTGATAAACATTATGCATTTATGCCCTTAAAATTGATAGACTTGAACTGACGCCGCGAGCAGGGTGGCGTTATCATATTGGCATGCTGTCAAATTACCCCTGAACTTCTTACAATGGCCGTGGGAACTGTCTGAGCGAACTTGACCTTTCTATCAATAATAGACTTCGATTTCTTGTATCTGTGCCAGTAACATAAATCTGAAGTGACCGTACGACCGGTCATACATTCATAATTAACCTTCAATGTCACAGCACCGATCCAGACACTGATTTAGAGTCCATCACCGCTTAGGCTATACCCAATCGCAGTTATCAAGGTTAGAGACGCTCAAGAGCTCAGACGAATGGTTCCACGTATTGTATCTGTCACAGTATTGATGGCAGAAATATGACGGACGGCCGCGCTCTCAAGATCAAGGTCGTTAATCGATTTCTGTGCCATTTCACGTCACACATTCATCTCTTCTCAGCGATTCCATCCAGATAGGTGGTGGAACTCCTCGAGCAACACGATGCCGTAGAAACCAGATACCACTAAATTTCTATGCATGTTGCCATTATGAAATGTCTTACCAAGCATGAAATTTTAATCCCGCGTTCTTTTTAAAGAATGTTATATGCCCGCATCTAGCTGAAGTTATGATGACCTTCAGCAATCTATTCTGCCCTTATCTCAGCGATCCCATCCAGATAGGTGGTGGAACTCCTTGGGCAACACAATGCCGTTACGTTAGTAGTTCGACACCAGATACCACTAAATTGTCATGGATGTTGCCATTATGAAATGTCTTGTAAAGCATAAAATTTTAATTCCGCATGCTAGATGCCAGCATCTAGCTGAAGTTACCATTGGGGCAATCCATTCTGCTCTTATATACATCGCCCATGGACAATGGGAACTAGTGCTGACGGAAGATGCGACCAGAGGCCAGGAACGTCAAATGATGCAGATTGCCTCTGACCATTTCGGCCACAAAACATGCCCTTGGGATAGATAGACCCTGCAGGAGCAGAGATGGACTGACCTCTGAAAAGCTAAATGGTTGCATTGGAAGTTCTGGCCATCAGGGTAGTGATCTGAACTCCTCCATTTAGGCGGTTCAATCCCAAAGACTACTTGGAAGGCCAGTTTTCTTTCTCCTTTTTCAACCAGCCGAAAGCCTATAATCTGTGGTCTACATAATTTCATTGAAAATCTACAAGCACGCTATATAGTAGTACACAAAGATCACTGATTGCCAGTCAAAGCACTACTAAGTGGCTAGCGAGTTTCAATGATCACCGAGGAAAACCGGCACATAAATACATATCTCATACATAAACAGGGTGATTATAATCTCTGGAGGTTATTGCAATGTCAGTTGGTACTCTATATGCATCCAGGAATATAGATTGAATCGATATTTTCCTGTGATAGCAGTTCTACTTCACCTCCCTTTCTCCATCGCCGCTTCTTAACTACAGCTTTTCGCCTGGCACTTAAGAGTCACTCCTGTGTGTGGGCAATTAGCTGATGCTTAACAAGCCTTTACAACCGTATTGTGCCGCAGTAGATAATCCAATAGGTCCCCGTAATATCCACATCCCTACATATCATTAACAGACCGACCTATGTGTAAATACCCGGTGAGTAATAGCGCCTCGTTGTTTTCTTTCCTATGCGAGTATAGTCTCTACCAGACTAACTACGCTGGCTACATATAGGAGATTATTTGCCAGTGGTGTTTGGCTGCCTTGGGGTTTGACTGGCCACGCAGGTAGAAAGAAACAACCTTCCCGCGGCCGGACCCCCCTGGCCAATTTTACTCTCCTTTCTGCCGAATTTTACGATCCGTATTCCCGTACTACCTCCAGCTTAGCAGCGTATAGACAGCCTGGGAGGTTAAACACATTAAAATTTCACGTCCAACAGCAGCTTTAGTCTAAGTGTGTATCATAGCGTGCACAATGGATGATAAATGTTTCTAGTATATGAAATAAGAACGTTGCGATAATGTCGTCCTCTGGGTGCGATTTCACTTCACCCGAGCACGAAATTGCAACCGTTTATAACTGCAAACTGCTCGGTTTCATCGAAGTAAACCTTTTACAGTCGGAGTATTGAACAAAGTGACCTGGTTCTTTCTTCGTGTGATTACAGTTTCGCGTGAATGGCGTTTGACAGATGGGACTAATTTTTCACTCATTCAACATCGCCCATTCACTATATTAGAGAAAAGGGTTGAGTCCATTAGGGTAAGCCCCTCTTATCTCTATTTAGCCGTCCCCCTTCTATCGCAGCAGTTACCGTTATCAGGAGAGCGATGGCGAAGGTTGTGGCGTTCAGGAAAAACTGTACCCATGAGACTCTGGCACATTCAGAACTGCGGGCTATGAAATGTGCGACCGTACAGCTGACCTTTCTTTGAATATCGCACAAACGGTCTGCCGCCACATTTTGAACCAATTGCATTTAACATCTTGCTTGGCGTTTGCAACACGCGAGAGCATTCCAACGGCAACTTTTCATTCGATCGGGTGCCTAGTTTGCCAAACGCATTAGCCAGTTGTTGGTAAAACGGCCGAAAAAGCTGAGGTCCATATAATAACATGTGACGAGCAATGGTGTAGCTCGGTGTGTGTGTGTGTGTGTGTGTGTGTGTGTGTGTGTGTGTGTGTGAATCTGGTTTGCGGCACCATTACTGTCTAAATCACTCCAGACACGCCAAGCACCATCCTACTGTGGACAAATGGTATCTCAATGATACGGAGCAATTACATCGTGTATGGACGCTACAAACAACCCGATTAACGGTAGGTACAAGATGCCATCACAGGAATACATCTGGTTCATCGACTGAGGACGTTTATCATGTGCCGTCCTTAAGGGCGTTGTTTAAACAGTGATCAGTCATGCACGCACATTCTTCGTCCAATGGTTGGTACTATAAAGTAGTTCCAACGTTTCCCAAGTTGTCGGTATTTCGACTGCACCACCATAAAATGACCAGGCCGTTGCCAGTACAATAACATGCACCTATATTTTACAGCCTTTCCAGAGTTTAGTGTGCGTGTGATGGATTTTGGCAGCTAGCCCTGCTGTGCAGCCTAAAAGATAGGCAAGTGAACAGTTTCCGATGTTACACATATTGCTGAAAGCATATCGTTTGATCAGGCCTATAAATTCAGAACATTGGAAGGAAAGACGGTCAGGGACGTTTTCTCTAACCCGGTCATGACAGGTCAATGTCCACGTAGGCACATATTGGTGTCGTATATCGTTCCCACTGTAGATGATAGAATTTTGAGTTTATTGAACGATATAAAGGCTCAAAACAGTACCGTATAGAGGAATGACTCTTGGAATCACAATAAAAGCAAACAGACTATAACGATAGCCTCCACCAGACCCCGTTGTAGACTGAAGAAAATAGTAGAAATTGGCCTAAAAAGGAAGGTAACTGGCCAGGGGATATGGTTAGTCGGCCATACAGGGTCCTGTTTGCCTGCAAGACTACTATCACGAAGCCTATCTAGCTCTATCACCTAGCATGGCACGAGTTTAGCAGTGACTGGTGGCTCCCTGAGAAAAAAAAGACCTAGCATGATCGACTCTGGATAAAGTACGTTTCTGGATACAGTTTGCCTGCAAGACTTCCATTACGAATCGTATGCAGGACTGTGTCTATCTAGCTGTATTACCTAGCATGGCTCTGGATAAGTACGGTTGGTGATACCTCTATTTTAAGCATGAATCTGTATAAAGTACAGTTGGGGATACAGCACGATGTACTGACCTCCGGTCTCTGGCTTGTGGTGCATCTCCTCCCCGCCCGGCACCTCGTGCAGCACGTCGTGCGAGTGGTCGTCGTCCTCCTCCTCTCCCCCCTCCGGCCCGCCGTCGTCTGACTCCGCGGACCCCGCCAGCACCAGCAGCGCGACGAACAGCAGTCCGGGAGCGACGTACAGCACACTGACGGGCGCCATGCTCGCACACGGACGCTACGGACCTACTGGACGTAGCTGAGGACCTACTGGACGTACTGGCTGATGTTGTAGATGCTTGATGGACACGGAAAGTCAGGATAGCCGACGTGACGACCACTTGGCTAAACCTACACTACAGCGCTAAGGACCTACTGGCAGAACTGGTCGTTCTTGTAGATGCTTGCCAATTGATGGACATGAAAATTCAAGATAGCCGACGAGACGACCACTCTGCCAAACCTACAGCGCACAACTATTGGCGCGAACAGGACCGATAAGGAAGATAGAGGCGCCAAATTCTTTCTCCGATTTGCCCTTGTTTAAAAAGTAAAACGTGTTCGAGCTCGGCTCATCGCGGATCGATGGGACGGAAGCCTCCATGTGAGTGAGGACCTACCGGCGTCTGTTCGGGCACGGTGCCAGCTGACGGGCCTTTATTTATAATGACGCACGGATGGATGGACCGGCGCGATGAAGACACACCTCCCGCAGCACGTGGATCATCTCACGGATTACCGAGTACGCACGAACCACCCGGGGCCGCCTAGGCTACATAATAGGCTCTATGACTGGTATCTATTTGAGGGAGGGGCTTAACATGTGCTGTTCTGATTCGCACGCAGTTTTCTCTGTACAGAAAACTTTCACAATTGCATATTGTAAATGATGTCATTATAACTGAATGTTTAAAAACTTAAGGTTTTAGAATCCTGCGAGAAATTTGACATTGTTCTGCACAGTAGTGATGATTCCGGTTTTTTGTGAGTCTGTCGATGCTAATAAAGTTTTCTTATGTCTTACATAAGTAATCAGAGCGGGTACCAATAGGAAAACCCGTTATTAGAAACGAGCACGACGTTGATTTTATTCAGCGCAGAAAGTATAGTACAAACAACCTGATGTGGAGGCTGTACGGGCTTACTAGTACTACATCAGTGTCGCTGATGGGTTGGTTATGCCATCACACTGGATTGGCCGTCCAAGGGAGGCGCGCGTCTCTCACATGTACTCACTGTAAGATTGGACGCATTATTCCCATGATACAGCGATCGTGCCACTTTTGGTGACGACTTCGATGTAAATCCACGCATTCCGTGATTGTTTTCGTAATTAATTTCCGTGCGAGCTACTGTTAATTGCATACCATCACTGGTAATACAGAATGTAATTATCCTTCCAAAATGAACAATACCAGACCTCCTCCCCTAATGAATTTTTCTTCGTCAGAGAACACCGCTGCCTTTCAACGGCAAAGTCTTGTAAATTGGATAACCCTTAAGTCTTGCAGTCTATAAGCCGGTTGTTAAGAGCTGCTCTTTTTACCTCCATGAAATGTGTCATGGAGGTTATATTTTCAGTTGCGTTTATCTGTCCGTCCGTCTGTCCGTCTGTCCGTCCGTCTGTTGGTCAACAAGATAACTCAAGAACGCCTGGATGGATTGGTTTCATACTTGGTGTGTTGGTAGGGTGTGACGAAAACTGGAAATGATTAGATTTTGGACCCCCTAGTGGCTTCCCTTGGTACTGCAGCAGAACTTCCGGTTTTGATATCTCGCGATCTGGACATGCTAGGGTCATGAAATTTGGATGGAAGGTAGCTCTTGTCCTCGGGAAGAAGTCACGTGAGTTTAGTCCCCCTAGCGGCTTGTTCTGGAACTGCAGGATGGTTTCTTTAAAAATATTCGAGAGAGGATAACTGAACAACCGTTTGATGGATCATCATGATTTTTGGTATGTAGGTAGCTTAAGTGATGCTTGACATAATCAAAATATAATTATGCAAATCAGGATCTAATTTGCATAATTAATGAGGAAATTATATAAATCAGCTGTATTTCATATTAGGGCTATAAAACTCTATAGACATATGTTAGTGAGAACGACAAGATCATTGGCAGATATCGATTATGTAAAGGAAGACCTAATTTGCATAATAAATGGCAAATTGGTACAATTTTATGGTGGTAACTGCTGGGAATTTAATACTTGCCATAATTGGAAGTCCAATGAAGGTGAACATCACTAAACATAATTTATGTCAATCAGGACCTCATTTGCATAATTTATGAGGAAACGCTAGAATAGCCTTATTTCTTAAGATAACCCTGTCATTTGGTGGAGAGTATGATCAATTGATACAATATATGCAAATGGCCTCATATGATTTGAATATATGCGGTGAAAAATGTAAGCCAATTACAGGTGGTCATCACCATGCGTAAGATTTATGAAAACAATACACATGTCATGGAGGTATGAGATCATCGAACTCTAGTTTAGTAATAATTGCATTAAGATTTCTTATGTAGATAAGCTATTAATATTACATGGACCTTGGTTCTTATTCATAGCCATTAAGTATTCTTATCCCCTGTGACTTAGACCTCGCCATCTTCAGATACTGAAAAGACAGCTGACCAACTAACAAAAGAAAGGTCGATGAAGGTTAGACATCCAGGTAATACGATACGCCAAAAAGCAGTTAATGCTTATAAACCTGCATTTCTCCTCTGGTCTCTCAGTCACTGACGAAAGCTAGTGGATAGTAGATGAAACGTCTGATCATTTCCAAAAATGATATCCAGTTGCTTGAGTAACTGCTTTTTCAGCTCGAGACCGGTCATTGCAGTGTCTCAAATACTATGGAATGAACTGAACCGTGTCTCCGGCGGACAAAAACCGCACCGATAGCGCCTTTCTGAGATTACGGTTTGTTCTGTCCTCCTGCGGGACATGATAACCCTACATATCATACCCACACATTGATCCACCGCGTAATCACACTCAATAACCCGATGACGATCTGCTCCACACGAGCCATTTCTTTTCAACGAGTTAACGAAAAAAGCGCCAGGTATGATTCACGCACGATAAAGTCAGCTTTGTTCTGAGGTATTGGGTCATTTAGATTCATATCACCTCACCATTCATTGGTGATGTATTTGATATCATTATCAACGTGTTTCTCTGTTATTGGAAGTCATTATACAATGATAAAAGAAGATGATTCGCCGTTAGTAGAATATCTACCAGTTAAAGTTACAGCCCTCTTGTGAAGAAGCTCTGTTATGAAGCAAGGCAATAAACATTGTCACAAAATGCGCACAAAACAGAAACGCTACTCTCGAAGATGTGGCAATTTGCGATGATGTGGCGATCCTATACGGCGGTTGGCCGCTTTGATTAGACCAGAAATAGGTTAAAAACAACATTAGGGTCAAAGGGCACCAAACCAAATGGCCACACAATATATTACGTTACCTGTGAGTATATCAATGGTACTATTCACGTACTTTCACCTGTTTGTCATGTGATCATGAAATTTAGATTTCACAAAAAGTACGGAAGGACCTAAGGTATGGTTTGAAGTACATGTACGTCAGTATGTACATGTGCCACTTATGTTCCTGTCGTTTTCACAAAATACTCATCTGCGAACTCTTTTTCCAGAGTTATGTGAGAACCTACATGAAATTGATCATTTGCCTGATCTCTCTGAAGAGCCATATATTTTTACCAACAGCGTCTTACTCATCATAGCTGCCCCATGCTGACATCAGCCATGTTACAGCCACATATAGAAGCAATTTGTCGGTTTTTCCTACCGTTTCAGCATGAAACATATCAAGATAGATGGTTGGACTTTCTTGTTAAGTCGGAGTGAGTTTCTGTAAGTGTGAGGATTGATGCGCTTACTAATTGTCTTTAGCTAGAGGCGACTGCTGAGGAAGTTCCCTTATTTCCTCCTCCATATTGGCCAGAGTTAATAAAGGTTCTGTTTGCCCTGAGGCACACCATCAGCTAGCTATAGGAACATTCGGTTTGACAGAATCCTGGAGATGCCTGCCCACAGGCATTACGGATTATCACTGCTTTAGCAGATAGAAAATTTGCACCTCATCTGTTATCTCTCCCGTACAGCAGTGGGGTTGTTTCCTTACCGCCACTGGTTTTCAAAGGGCTGGAAGCTTCATCATAACACAGGAGATAAAAGACCGGCTTAACTCGCACGTAGATAAGATGCCTGTGTGTTAAACTAAGAAAACAATGTACGAATCAGATCTCAGTTCCTTGGAGTGAAGGTTCTGTTTTAAGCGATAAGAGGTTTGCAGTTTGTGCGTAGATCAGTCATAGCAATCATGCTAATTATATCAAATTAGAATTCATTGTAGCTGCATGGATGCACTTTTCAAGGTCGATGAAAATTATATGTACAATATACAAGCCTAATAAAAACCATAATGGGGGTATTGACGTGCATTGTTAGTGTGTAATGTACAATGTTATAGTTATTCTTGGCAACTGCAAAGATGCAATCTGTGTAAGAACGGCGTTAGACTACTTTGCTAGGGTTCACTGTTACTGGTGATTAAAACATTTCCCTTAAGCTAGTCTATCGATGCAATGAATGTATGACCTGAACATCACGTATACTACGGAGAGCAGTTGCAGGATTTTAACATCGAGTGTGCTTTGAAGTATATGCTTCACAAAACGTTACGGCAGCAGGAAGTATAAGAACGGAGTGTTACTCTATTTCACACATAATCTTAATGGTTACTGATCTCACGGTGGTATCTTCATTCCAATGCCCTGGTTTACTGCCGGCTTGAAAGACCCACGTTGAGATGCGTACTTGGAGGATCGGCACGGTTGGTTGAACAGACATAAAGATAAAACATTTATGATCAGATTCAGATCTTATTGTTCTCGATAATTCTCCTCGGGTGTTTGGACTGACAGCTTGTTGAATCAGATTACCTGCTGACAAATGTCTTCATTATCCCCGAGCAAAAGCATTGCTGTATAAAGTTGGTAAATCACTGGATATCATCTTAAATGGTCTTTGTTCATAACCAATAACAACTGACAAGACAACAGGTTGTGTACGAGCACAAAAACATCATTTGAACCCCAAATCACTTGATTCGTGTGGGATATTAAGCAGGTAATCTGTATGCCGCCCTAGTACCTAAGCCATCACACATTCCCCGGTCTAT